GTAAGCTTCCCATCAGCCAACCAACCACCATCACTAACTCAAACTCTATGCGGCAGCGAGCGCGAGTCAACTAGAACTGCCGGAAACAACGAGGACCGCGAGAATCTTGCACCGACCGATCGCGAACCATCGCGCCCGCGCCCTTCCTCGTCTACTACAACCGCAGTTCAACAGCGCCCGAAGGCACGTCCGACTTCGTCAAAGCGTCAGAAGACGCAGTCCACGGCTACCTTACGGCTCGAGAACGCTGAAGAGCCATCTGGGGCTGCCCCGCGGCGCAAGCGAACGGCGCCAGCGACGACCAGAGCCGTAGACAACGCGGGACATTCAACTTGATTTCCAAGCGTGGGTGAATAGTTTCGATGTAGCACCAAGTCTGTAGCCTCTGTGCCCTTAATCCAGTCTTCCTGGTAGCATCTTAGCCATGCAATGTGCGCGTGTGCGTGTAACGATGAGTGCGCTGGCGAACAGTGACGGCGAGCGCTGGCGCGATCACGATCGATCGATTCCCAATTTGGACCAACCAGTCGCACGGCGGGTTCAATGTACAATGCTAGGATGCAGGCTGTATACATAACCAACAAAATGGGTGATACAAGTGGGTGAGAACCCGTGAACTGCGTGTGGTTTAAATCGGACATGTACTGGGCGAAAATCATCCATTTGACTTCACCCACACCCTGGGCTGTGTCCCCCAGGATGTGGGTGAATCCAATCCATCCTGATGGTCGGTAGACCCCATCTTATGGGTAAACCCGTGGTTGAATATCACCCACACCGAGTACCACAGTGATGCATCATCGCAGTCCAATCAATCGATTCATGGTCATCTCAGGCATTCCACAAATAGTGGGATCGTACATGCGCACCAGTGCTTGTCACTAAACTCGGTGCTGGCATCGGTATCACGATTTGGATTACGAGCTGATCCGAGCTTAGCCTGGCCCTGGGACATACACGCCCGTCGCCCATCCCGACCCTATTCAAGGACGTCGAACAAGACGCCGTTGCTTTCTATCTCGAAGATTACGAGAGTTATGCAGGACTGAGCGGACACCGCGTTAGTAGCCTGACCGAAAGTAGTCTTGCGTGATGAGCGCAACATACCACGAGGCCTGCACGGGCCCGAGTCCCCAAGTATTCCCAGTAGGCGTACTGAGCCTGGCATACGGGTTAATACCGAACGATATGCTGGAGGCATCGACGGCGTTGACTCGCCTCGAGGTAGGCTCCCAAACATCGTGAGAGGCTAGACTTGGCTAGACCCTGCATTTTTGGGGAGCTTTGGTCAGATCAACGTCGTTGATATCGTGGAGTTTCCTGAGCCCGATCTCTTCTGACGTGCAAAAGTAGCGATAGCTTGCGCATGAGATGAGTGCGTCGCGAGTAGTAATGTAATGCGCAGTACGGGGAGGATGAGCGCAGTTCGTCCTGTCGGAGACGCCAGGGTGTCGTTCACGCCATCGAATTGGAAGAAATAGATGCACTTAAAGGGTCTGCCACAAGCTCATTCAGCAGTAACAGTGACAGCGTGCTGAACGTTAACCTCCGCAATCCCTTGTTCCCCGTCACCCAGTTCTTCGAGCTCTGCCAAAATGCCAGAGAGATCGAGCTCAACGACGACGTTTCTGGCAGGGACGTCCTTGAACTCCTTTCTACGTCGCCCGGTTCCGTGATTCTAATTCCTCGTCTGAAACGCATAGTTCTCGACCTTGTGGATCGCATAGTATCCCTATCACGACCGGATCCCGAAACAAAACGGGATGAATCGCGGATTTTCCATACTGCGGCGCCTAACCGATCGTTCAGTATCCGATGAATTCATTGCGAAGATTGAAAACTGGTTGATACGAAGATACGAAGCCACCCGGACCGTACTGGAGTTCACCCTCAAACGGAAGGCTAGGTGCTGATGTTCTTGAACGGTTTCATCAGATTTAAGGTGATCCAGATTGAGGGAGTTGGACATCGGGGCAATACAAATTTGGGCCGATGACTAGGTGTAATTGTGAAGAGCACTCACGAACGCGACGGGAAAAATCGTACGAAGTTTGCGTCACCGTTGTCTCAAACAAGATGAGCGCATAGTACTCCAGGGACCGCACGGACATACGTGATACTCGGTTACCTCGCTTGCGCGTCCAGCGCGATGCTACGTCAACGTCCAAGATCGTGGGCCGACTTCCTGTATACACACCTTGCTTTCGAAGGCACCTCCGAGTTCGATGACGAGTCCCGTATTCGCACATTTGAGTGCTGTCGCAATGGGATCGAAGTCATGCTAGAGGGCGTGGAAGCCTGCGACCCCGCCATGCCGCTGCTCGTCCCGTCCCTCGACTCCGTTCCACTGTCACTTTTTCGTCTGAAACGGTGTCCTGGGCCTGGCAACCGATGGATTGCCCGATGAGCTGGTCGATAATACTCGCGCACTTGTTGATTCCAAGATACGACACTGCTGGCGTGATGGTGGAACTAGCCCTTTCTCGTGTTGTGCGTCGTGTAATGTAGAGCTGTGCTTCGTCACATCACCGTGGTCGAGGTCGAATAGCACCGATACATCGCCGGCTTCGAATCAAAATAGCCTCTTCGATGCTGTAACTGCTACTCGCGAAGCACATGGACACCCGCTCAACTGTGAGGTTGAATAGCACGAGGTTTCTCGACAGCCTCAATAACCCGGTACCCGTCCAACGAGCGCCAGGTATATCGCTGATGGTCATGCGGGCATGGTAATGGACGGACCTGTTTAGTTAACAACGATCACGAGCAGGAAGTCATAGCCATCGCAAGCATTCCGCAACAGTGCGAGAATGTTACCGATCTGAGCCTTTCGGACGAAACGACCTGCGACACCGTCATGCCACTCTGCATCTCGTCCGGCTTGTCTCCGCGGCTGCAACGGATTTCCGGACATGGACGAGGGGCCAAGTCCTTCATGAATGGACTGTTAGCTTGCACGGAGAGCTCATGTTCAACCGAGCCGAGTGCGATGACGAGATCTGATTGTCAGACACCTGGCAGAAGAACACTTGGGGATGCTCCGCGGCGTTGGAAACGTCCGGTTTTCGTTGTCCATAGGGACCTTCGACTTCGAATGATCGGAATTGGATCATACCCCTACAGACTGTATAAGCGGAATCATGAAGGGGCTTCGCGATAGCGTCCTAGATAATGCATCGTGCATTCAAAGACCCTTGACCTGCTCCTCTAACCAAGTCCATAACGCCTTGCCGAGATCGGGATCGGTCGATGATGCTTTTGGTCTCCATCCTTTTGCCCACGGACCAAGGTACTGCACATATTCATCAGATCACAAGATGACATATGGTAGCTGAGTACGATGTATTCACCTTGCCGCTAAGCTCTGCGGCCTCCGATGCTGTTCCCGCATAAAGCTGTGTCAGCGCGCCCTTGGACGGCGGATGCCAGAAGTTACCCTGGCAATCGCGCGTGAGCGTCAAAGCAAAGGCGAGCGATAGCAACCGGGGGAGGGAAGGGGAACATACCATGATCTTCTTCATACCGGAAGAATACTTCCACAAGTCGGTTCGGATCACGCCGGGATGAACCGCGATCGCGACGAGGCCCTTGTCGGCGTAGCGCCGGGCGAGCTCGTTGTTATACACGAGGTTTCCGAACTTGCTCTGGCAGTAGAGCAGGTCCGTGCTCCGCTTGCGCCGCTTCGGGCCGTCCTTGAAGGTGGCAAAGTCCAGGCCGCCGAAATAGTGCGCGTTGGAGGAGATGTTGACGACGCGTACGGTGCCGTGTGGTGCGGTCTCGACGGTGGAGAGGATCGTCGGGAGGAGGAGCTTCGTGAAGTAGAAATGGCCTGGTGGCGACGTGAGATACGACGAAAGGGAGAAAATTGGAAAGGGAAAATTTACCTAGAACATTTGTCCCGAACTGAAGGTCATATCCGTCTGCGGTGGTCAAGTCGATGGGGGCAGCCATAACACCTCTGTCACGGACATGCATGAACATATGGGGCTTTGAGGGGGTTCTGCATGGGCTGCTTACGCATTGTTATAGAGGAGATGCAGCTTGGACTCTTTGCTACCGCAAACCATCAGCACGTTGCGTTCATTGGACTGAGACAGCGCAAATACCTCATAAACTCCTCGGCCGACGCTTTGACAGCCTTGAGATCAGACAAGTCGAGCTTCAAGAAGATCGCCTCTTTCCCGGTCTCCTCACGCAAGTCCCTGATAGCCTCCTTGGCTTTGGATTCGGATCGGGCAGCTAGGTACACCTTCGCGTTGTGCTGAAGTAAGGCCTAGGAAAACACGGGTGTGAGTACTTGCGTCGCGCGGAGAACCTCTTGCTGCGCGACTCGCCTTGACGGTCTCCTTTCCTATCCCGACGTTACCGCCTGTAGCAAACACAACAGTAGGGTTGGCACTCGCTTGGCCCCTGCTACAGCGATAAAAACGAAAACTCGCCTGTTACTATGCACACGAACCCATTCAAGTCGGGTATCTGGTCGGTGCTCCACTTCGCTTCCGGCGGAAACACCTGAGCAACAAAAGACGGCAAGTCGCGAAACAGGAACGATATGGCCGAGCTCATGTCAACGTTTGCTGAGCGCCGCGACAAATGGTATGCAGGTGATGAAGACTACTTCTACCGGTTTTCTTGCCCTGAGATTGGAGCTTCGGCCTACACCGCTGCTGAACGCGAGTCCGGTCTGGGAGAAGGGTTCGTAGGCTAGCCATCATTATTGTTCAACTTAGGTCGCGTAGGTAGAAGACGCGTTGCTAGCCTGTTAGCGAGATGATGAAGACATGACCGGACCAACTTATCGGTGGATTCGTTCCACGTGGCGACATTATCCGCATACTGATAACTTAGATTTAAATATAGGCTCGTAAAGATTGTTATCTCCAAAATTAAAGCCCTTGTTCAATTCCGCGGATACAGTCTTGCTTCCATCATCGCTGTTGACTGGAGACTCAGTAACATTACGTTCGTCATCAACAAGAGAGTCGACAACTGGCAGAGAACCATACGTATGCGCCGCGATCCCTCGCTTCCGCTCGAACTCTCTTCTAAGGAACGCTATACCGAAGTCGAATCCAGCGATGCCCACTTGTGCCGTTAAGGTGGCTGGATCCGCTCATGGTTCTTGGACCGTTGGCCTGGCGGTACAACCAAGGCTTCTTCCTCGCAGCTGGAACTATGCGCGCATTCGTAACATGACTGGTCCCTTTATCGTCCCAAGTCATCATACCTCGTTCCGGCCACCATTGTCAATGCTTCCAGCTGCTCCATTTGCCCCGCACCATCGATCTCAAGGATACACCATCATGAGACTGTGCCAGCTCACCGACCGTCAGCCTTCCGTCATGTCCTTCATGTCGTTTACCAATGAGTGGAGCACCTGACGGCGTGACTTATCCTGCCCATATGACTCCAGAGTCCATGAGCAAGCTAGTGGAACGAATGTTGGCATTCCGGGACTCCTCCAAGCCAGACAGAATGTGGCATGCCGTGGGCCAATGCCCGATTGGGCAATGACTTGGCGCCAGTGAACCCGCCGTCACTTCGGAGTGATGGAGAACCTTCGATGAGAAGTAATGCAATGCATATCACGACATCCCGCCAGCTTGTTTGTGAGTATTGTCCGATAGTTTTACCCACCTTTCCCGTCAGACAGATATATCGCGTTACATCAGCGTCGTGAATCGTACACAAACTGGCTTCTGGCATCCACAACGCGCCAGGACTGCGAGGAACGTTCAACTCCTGTCTGTTGACGTCAGGTTGACGTACTCTGATAATGCACATCTCACGAACGTAAAAGTGTAAATGACCGCGAGCGGCATGAGAACACGAAGCCAGGCTGAGCTTCAAGTGACAAATTCGAACATTGACGGTCCAGAACGAGGAAGCTTGTCATAAGTATCAGCGGCTATCTAGTGTGCGAGGTTCCGGGGCCGAAGTGATCGCGAGAGGGTGCGCCTGCAGAAACCAACAGGCTACAAACAAGGGCTTGCTTGTGTTGTTCGATCGATTGTTCCGGCGTCGTCGAAGCCTTTTCCTTTGACTCTTCCAATTGGAGCCATATCGCGGACGACATTCGCATATCTATACATGTAAGAGTCGGAAGACAATTGAACAGATAACATCGAGCAGATCGGGATCATCATCTTCGTGCGTTCAGTATGCCGAGGCTAGGCACGGAGCGATCGGCGGGCACGCGATGGGGTTCTAGCGGGCGGGAATTCGCACGCAAGACTGTCTAAAGCCGCCCTCGACAGCCAGTCTGGAGGCGAACACATGTATCAAGGGGCCGGCACGACGTGTAAGGAACCTTCACCCCCGCCCTTCGCCTTCGTTCCCCCCCTCGACGCTCTCGACTGGCCTACGCCTGCGAGCACGAGATGTCTAGTTCAACGTCGGCGTGTCCATTGCGGTTCATCATCGTCGGTGGCTCGATAGCGGGGATGGCCAGCGCACTCGCGCTCAGAAAAGCTGGGCATGAGGTGTTGTTGCTCGAGAAAAGCGATGGAATGTATAGAGTACGCCGGCTTTGACCCCTTGCGCGATTGCTGTGCTTACTGCTCGTGGGATGAAGAGCCCGATAGGTATCGTGTGCATGCCGAACATGGTGCGGCAGCTGATACGATTTGGTCTGCCCTTGGAACGACTGGAGAGGGAGTCGACTATTTGCGCCCGTTCCGACTTGCGACATGGCGAGTACGCTTCTCGCGGTGTAAACAGACGGGGAGCTGATCATGTGGCTGCAGGCGGCACGAATGCATTCATGGGCCGCGTCTACTTCGCGCACCCTGACATAGAGGGCGACTTGGGGGCAAAGGTGTCCTCCATCCAGGTGCGAGCGTTGAATCCCCGAATTGGGGGTGAGGCTCATCCGCCGCGTAGCATGGACAATTGCGAACGTGGCTGGAGGATCTCGCACGCGAAGCTGGCGCGAAGATGCGATTCAATTCGTTGGTGACGCAAATTGACCCGCAGAGAGCATCGGTACGGCTGTCAACAGGGGAGACTCTGGAGGGAGATATAATTCTAGCCGCGGATGGGTGGGACAGCATTGTGAGGCCCGTTGTCACGGGCGAGCAGAGTGACATACAACGGACGGGACGCGCGGGGTTGCAGTGAGTCGCATGTTCGGCTTGCTATGGCTGATAATAAGTTCCGAACTTTGTTCTTTGTACAGCATGACGATCCCGCAGGATCGTGTAGAAAAGGACGAAGAGCTCCGAGAATTACTGTTGGGTGGTGAAGCAGCTCAAGTGTGTAGCTGCATATGTCCAGCATTGGAGTTTCAGCTCACAACGATTTACAGTGGGTTGTCTGGTACGGCAATGGTTGCTGCGTTGAAGTGTACTCCCTCGTAGGCATCTTACTCCACCTTATCTCACGCATCACCCCCTATGACCGACATGTAGCCGCACGTGAAACAATATTCGGTGCGCCTCCATGCAACCGTGCGCACAGACGCCAGTATCGTCCCAGACTGGACGGCACGGCGCCCGCTGGACGCGTCGAGGTCGGTGACCGACCTGACTGCTGACCTTGAGCACTTCCATTCCATGTCAGTCTCGTGCTATGGTCTGAATGACTGGCGCTGACCTATGCGGGACCCTCATAGCGTAAAACGACTAATCGCACTCGCGGATGCAGTAACACCTATGCCCTACTTGAAAATGGACCCGCTGGAGAGCTGGGTACACGAGGACAACAAGGTCGCACTCCTGGGTGACGCCGCCTTCATCCAGCCAGTTCGTGTTTTTTTTTTTTTTTGCATTGTATCCTTACTGGCGTACTGACCAAGGATTCCCCGCAGTCAGGTGCCACCTACACCCCCTCCGCCTCTATCGGCGACGCCGAAACCCTCGCCGCCCTGTTCTCGCGCCTGTCTTCCCGCACGCAGATTGCGCCCCTTCTCAGCGCATACGAAGACATACGTGCCCCACACGTGGCACAGCACGCCGCTGCCTCCGCCGCGCTCCTCACCGCGCTCTCCTTCCCGCTCGGACCGGCGGAGGCGTTCAGCGACCTGGTCAGCTTCGCACCAGACGCGCAGCTTGCGGACGCCGCGGAAGAGGACGGACGCAGCGCGCGGCTGCATGGGATCTGGACCGATTTTTTCGCCGTGTGTGCTCATGACGAGGTTGAGGCGGCAGAGTCATGGTGGAGGGCCTGGGGCGGGCCGGTGGCCGACCAGAGCGGAGCGGGCAAGGGCAAGGGGAAGCTGGTGCAGGCGTCGCCGGATATGTTGGCCATACCAATCCAGGATCAAGAAGTGCGCGTGGGTTCGCCTCTGCCTTGACGAATGCTGACGGTGACAAAATGTTCTCAGTTGTAGGGAGATGTTTTCGTACAACTGCATTCGCGGCTTCACAACACTACACACAAGTTTAGGGAGACATGTATCATAGTACACGAAGCATAGGAATACACGGATTTAGCGCATACAACGAGGTTCGAGCGGTTCGGTTCTAGTCGCAATACAACGCAGCGGTCGTTGGGTATCGGTCATGCCCAGTTCTATTCGTGCGAGCCAAGCCGGGCAAGTCGGGAGACTAGAGTAAAGTAGTTCATGACCTTCATGATGTTCATAGTGATGGTACATACATACATTCTGTTATCCTGACAGAACGGTGGTAAGATGGATGAGATAAATATCACGCCACAAGGTGTCTCGAACGAAGGAAAAGCACCGCCGACATCCAGCAAGGATAAGCGATTGGAGATGGCGGGTATCAATCGTCCTCATAGTCCTCCTCTTTGACCGCGAGGCCCATCCCACCACCCGCGCTCGACCATTTATGGATGGTGTCGTCGTCTATGCTGGGCCGCGGCTTGAAGCTCTCTCGTCGCGCCGCTCGCGCCGTCTGCGTGTTGGCGATCGAGGCCGTTGATACTGTTCGCGAGCCAGGATAGTGTATCGATGGCGGCACCAGTGTGGGCGCGGAGGTTGGCAACCTCCCGTGTCCCAGCATTGCTGGATTCGAAGTGGCTTTTGGCAGGGAAACGGGCACAGGCTTCGGTCGCTGGGCGGACAATCGTGACGCAGGGCGCTTCGTGGTGGAAGCCGCAGGGGCATGGCTGTAGGAAGGTAAATGACTATCATTCGTCGACGATTGCAGAGGGGCGCGGGCTGACGGTCTTGATGATGAGGAGGATGTCGAGCTCCCCAGCCGTTGTCGCTTCGCGGGCATCGATGTGCTCGAACTCGAAGCCGAAGCCGGCCGCGTTGCGGGTACGGTCTGGGATACGCCGTTGGATGATGTGCTCCGCTTGTGTGGTCCGCCAGGTTTGTATCCGTTGGCCGGTGGCGGCGCTGTTCGTGGCACGGAGCCCGCCCTCTTCGGCTGCGGCGCCGGAGCACTGGGCCCATATCCGGAGCTTGAGGTAGGTTTGCGGCCACGTCCACCGTTCTCCTTCTCGTGCGCAGCGATGCTCTCAAGAAGGATTTGCATGATGCTCTCGCCATGGACAAGAAATGGTCGGCCGCTCTGCTCTTCCCACGCAGGTATGGCGGTGAGCAAGTCTTGTTCAAGCTTTAAAGAGAAAACCGGTCAGCTGAAAGGAGCACTATAAATAATGGCAACGCTTACCCGAGGTTTCTCTTTCTGCACCCGTTTGCGCATCTTCTCCTCCCTGAGCAGCCTGCCTGGATCTCGCGGCCCGCGGCCAAGGAGACGAGATTGATCAGAGGCCGCTGCGGCGAGTTCCCGTTCCTCCTCGCAGATATCAAAGTACTTCTTGATTGAGGACAGTACCGGTGCCTAGACGGGGACGTCAGCAATCTCATAAGACAAGTCTAGGAGAACACGCACCTTCGCCTTCTTCTCTTCCTTCAACCGCCTTATCTCCTCCTCGTGGACGCTAAGCAGCTCCTCGGTGAATTCCGCGTCGCGCATCGCGCCCTCCTCGAACATCGCCCTCTCGTTCTCCGCCTCGCCGACCCACAGCTCCGCCCACAGCCGTCTGATCTCCGTCCTCGCATTGTCTACAAATACGCCCATCCTCTCTCTCTTCAGCTCCAGCATCCTCTCCAGCTCATCCTCGTACGCCCTCACAGATGCGAGCGTCGATCCCTGATTGTGCTCCACGAACGCGTCCATGTCGTCCTCGCCCACGCCGAGCCGGCGCCAGAGCGCCTCGAGTTGGTCGTACATCGCCTGGATATGTGCCTCGCGCTTGCGCTTGGTCTCGTCCAACTCCGCGCACGTGCGCTCGGCCCATTCGACCAGCCCCGGCGTCGGATCCACCCCTTGCAACGCCGCGGCGGGGTCCGTCTCCTCGGCCGGTGTGCCCTCCTCTTCCGCCCTTGCAATGAAAGTAGAGAAGCGCGCAAGGATGCGCTGGTACTCCAGCGGCGTCTCGTCTGCTGCGGCGAGCAGCATCCGCGAGAAGGGCGTCGGGCCGAGCGCCTTGAGCGTTGTGTTCGGTTTGTGCCGTGTGGCGGGCGTTGGCGTTGACATGGTAAAGGGGTCGCGGTCAAAGCTGTCGCTGGCGATGTAAGAGCTGGTGTCCATGTTAAGGGAGGAGGTGGAGCGGGCGAAGGTCTGTACAGGAGGGGCGAGAAGGCTGGTCGTGGCAAGGTCGTCGATGGAGAGGGGTTCCATGCCGAGGGCTGCGTGGAGCCAGTCGATCTGAAGGAAAACGGAGTGCAGATGGCTGAGCCGTTTGGCCTGCACATATGTGTATCAGCGAGACGAGTACAGAGAAAATGGGTCGATGGTACGTACGATTTCGCTCTTGCCGCGCACTAGTTCCTTTTCCAGTCGTGAAAATCGTTCGGGACTCACGTCTCGGTGTTGTCCGTTGGAATCCCGATTCAGGTCGTGGTCTTCCCATGTCGCAGGGACAGGCTGCAAGATTTCGGCGGGGTAGAAATTCGGACCTAGCGTCCTTGAGAGTGTTACAAGGCGGTTGATGAGCGTTGTCAGTTGTTCAAGCTTGGTGTGGTAGAGCTATATGATAAGAATCACCATCAGACTTATGCAGAAGCCATGAATATGCAGGAGCCTACCTGGCGCAGTTTCTCCTGGTATTGGGACCCCATCTGGTATCGTTGAGGCAGCACGGCCTCCTTCCTCCATGCCTCCAAATCCAGCCCCTTCCCCGCGATCGCCTTCGCGTGACCTCCTAGCGCCCTTTCGTATCGCTTGCAGTCGTTCTCCACCTCCTCGCACTTGCGCTCCCATTCATGCACCTCCTTCCTCCTGCGCTCAATCTGTGACTCTATGCACCGCGCCAGCTCCTGTTGCAGAGATGTGAGATCGTCCGCGAGCGCCGACGCTGGAAGACCGAGTTGCGCATGGAGGGGCGGTAAAAGTTGGGTTTGAGATTGCAGATGGGTGTGCAACGAGTTGAGAAGTGATGTTATTGTCGACATAATGTCGAGGGATGCCCGTAGGGGGCACCGATGTCGTTCCCGAATATTATCCTCGCCGAGCAAAGTAGCAAGTCAACCGCGTGAGGCACGGTCACGTGGTCGCGTCGCGACACGCCGCCAAATGTGGCCCACGAGCGGGATTAGTATACATTCGTACATGAGCTAAGGTAGTACTCGGCATTGTGAGCAAGAAGCGGAGAGGATACACGAGCAGAGAATGTGGGGGTTCGAAGACCCGCATCATAAAAGTTCAGCATCGTCGGCGTTGAGAATTAACGTCGTAAAGAACAATATCTCCTCCATGAAAGATTCCACTCCCATAGCTATCAACGAAGTCAGTTCGATGGATAATATGCAAGAGTAAGGAGGAAACCTACACTCGTTCACAGTATGTATATTTCCCAACCCACCAGTACCTAAATCGTTGTGATTATACCGAAATATATGGGCGGACAAGTCCCAGTAGTATACCGTGTCTGCCAACAAACAACAGTCATCAGCCGTCAATCCACGGAAATAAAATGTTCAGAAACTGAGAGACGGACCAGTGTTCCCACTGATGATGCCCGGAGCCACGAGCACCTCCCGAGCACCGCCCAGGGCCTCACGCCGCTTCGCGTACGTAGCCCGTATCGTCCCCGACAGCAGTGCAAACGGTTTCGCGCCCGGATCCGTGGGCACTGTCGGTGCGGGCTCCAGTCCGTCGGGGTTGGTCACGATGAGCTCGCCCAGCGTCTCTGTAGTGGGTCCAAGGATGGACGTGCCGAAGGCGGTGTAGGAGAGGTTGAAGGCTGCTGCGAGGGGCGCGAGCAGGTGGATATAGCGCGCGCGCATGGCACCGAGTGAGCTATGATTGGCGTTAGTGGGGGAGATTCGCGAGACGGCGGTTAAGGTTGCTTACCTGTCCGTCGCGATGCGGTGGTTGACGATCGCCTTCCGTTGCCCGTTGTTAGCGAATTCTCTTCCATACATTCGAACAAGCGCTTACCGCAGCCTGCTCTGGAAGGGCATTTGACTTGACGCCACCGTATATGCTATAGCACAGAAACCATCAACACTCCTTCCGAGGGAGCTTGGCAAACAAGAACGGACACGTCAACCGCCTGCGTCGTGCCCGCCAACGCCTTCGTCTCCGCGTCCTGAAACACAATTTTCTCCGCCTCTCGCAGCGCGCGGTCGCTGTGACGGCCCTTGACTAGAGCCGTACGCAGATCACGCGAAACATCGGGAGCGTGTTCGGCGACACATTGCAGGTATTGGTACAGGGGCTCAGTACGGATCAAATGTGCGTTTTCTTGGTTCGACTCAAGATGGACGAGTAACTATACATGAACGGTGAGGAGGGCGGGAGTGAGATATGAAATTGCGATGACTTACGGAGGACAGTATACCGATGCTCTTCACGAGGCCAGACGTTCAGTTGATGTTACAAAAGCGCTCGGTGAGGGTAACGTACCGTGTGAGCCGGAGGAATACTACACTACGAACTCAGACCGGCCCTCCATTACTACAGGATTATATTAAACGCGTACCTGGAGTGACCACCCGGTGTTTTGACCTCTACGTGGACATTTGCATATCCTTTCTCGCCGATCGCTGGGATCGCGAACACGGTACCGAACTGCTCCACGTAGCCGGCTGCGAGTGGACAGCGGTTAGCACAGGAGTAGGCGCGTCGAGCATTCGCATCGATTACCCACATCCTTCGTCGATGATCATCGCAAAAGCATCCTTTCCGTATCGGTCAAGGAGAAGGTTGGCGAGAGCTTGCGCGCCCTGCGACTGTATCATTGCATGCCAATGAGTCCTATTGCCCCTCTCTCGTCAGATGAATCGCACATAGGGCCCGCCACCTTCTTCGTCAAACCTGACAGGCAATTTGAGCGAACATCGACAGCAGGATCGAAACAACCAACCCAAATGACATGATGATCGTCCTCCTGGGCTGGAAATCATGCTCAAGCAAAGTCTCAATCACAGCCATAGCCGCAATCAATCCGTTCTTATCATCAGAGCTTCCACGTCCCCAGATGCGTTCACCTGTAACAGAGCGTGGTTGGGATGTGTTCTGACGGCCGATGGTAAGCGGATAAGACATTACCGTCAAAATGGCCCGAGTACGGCGGATGTGCCCACTGATCTGCGGTAGCAGGATCCACCGGCACTACGTCTGTGGAGTCAATGAGTTCAATTCACGTGAAAAGAGTGGCGGAAGCAACTCCGAGTCGCACCTGAATGAGCCATGAGCAGGAGCGGCTTGAGGTCCGCATCCGTTCCCAGCCATTCATACAGCAGTCCATACGTGTTAACCTTGGTGAGCTTCACGGTGGAGTGGCTGCATTAGCATGACAGTCAATTTGCGACCAGCGCTCTCGAACTGAGCTGAGGGTACGCACATCCTCGGAAACGCTTCCACGAGGTACTCGTTGAACGGTCGAAACGCCTCCCACCGCTCATCCTCGCCAACCAGTCCCATATCGTCGTACAGCTCCGTTGGTATGCGTACCGCATCGCTCAGCCACGCGACCGCCCGCTCTTCGTAGTCTACCTGAGCGTACAGCGCGCTCAACTTCCCCCACAACTCGCCGTTTGGTCCCGCCGGGAAGATCGCGCCTACTTGCGGGCACGTTCCTTGTACAAGAGAATCAGGTAAAAGAAGCAATCGCGAGGAGAAGAGGCGCTGGTGGACAAGGCGAGGCAGTAGCGCAAGGACGGCACAGAGGACCAAACAGAGGAGGATGCGCGGTGAGACGCCCCTTCTCGTTCTTGTTTTAACGAGCGCAGGCCGGTCTTCCGCCTGCGAAAGCAGGTCTTTCGCATCGTCCTTCATCGAGGTTGGGTGCGGGTCCGCTTGAAACTCCATACCACATGAATTATGCTTCAATTATTCAGTGCTTCAGCCACAAAGATCATGATCAAGTGACAGCCTGTAACGGACCGCCTCTCGCTATCGCTCGACGCGATTCGTTTTTCGTACTGCCTCGCCGATCTCATTGAATTCCATCAGCTCGGCAGCATGCTCTCTCTCCGGTACGATCACCTTATATACTTCGTATCTAGACGATTGTACCTGAGCTTAGCTTTCCCCCCCCCCAACAAGCTACATTTCACGCCCGCGGCCGGCCGCCCAATACACCTCCCTTAAAGAGCGGCCGGCCGCCCAATACACCTCCCTCAAAGACGCTGCTTCGGCGGGATGGCGCTCAGCCTCGAAGCTGCTATGTTTGTTGCTCTCGTTGTGGAATCTGTCTTCTATGGATACTTCTTAGCTCTGTTTTGCCGAACAATAGAGGTCATGCTTGCGCAGAAGTCGTCATACAAACGTCGAGACATCCGGTGGCCCTTCGCTCTCGCCGCACTGGTGTTATTTATATGCGGTACCCTTGACGTTGTGTTCCACTTCAAGTTGAACATCGACGGTTTCATTTTACACGCTATACCCGGCGGTCCTGCCGTGGTGTTTGGTCGCATCTCTGGCTGGATCAACCCTGCACTCGTGAGCAATGCTACATGCATACGATAGGAATCGAATCCTGACACAAAGTTTTCCTTTATCAGGCCGTTCTGTCGGGTACTCAAGCACTTGTCGGTGACGCCATTCTCGTATGACGTTCTGCGATTTCACCATATATTATCGCAGTATTGACGATTTGACCCATAGATATACCGATGTCATATTGTGTACAACAAGAGTTATCTTGTCATCATCATGCCCTGTTTACTCTGGGCCGGTACAGCCAGTGCGACCATTGGTCTTGCCGTTACCGAAGCGCTCTATCGAGGAGAAGCCGAGTTAACGACGGCTAGCATCGGCAGATGGACCGACGCATTGGCATGTCTCGTATTTCTGTCGAACTCTGTCGCTACCGGTGAGAACCGCCGCATCTTTGTCGTATGCTAGCGGCTTGAACGACTATATGTTGGCCAGCCCTGCTGGTTGTACGACTACGCGTTCTGTCAAAAGACATCGCCAGCATATCATCTGGACGAATAATCAGCCACTCGACGCATCGTGCCATCCGCATTATTATGGAATCGGGCCTCATTTACAGTCTCCTCGCTTTGTCTATCATGATTCTCTCGTTTTGCCGAAGCTTTGCCGTATACATAGTCGCCGACATGGTGAGCATGCGATTTCAAATTCCATCCCGCAGGACTTCGACTGACGAAGAATCAGTCGGTTCAAATGGTCGGCGTGTTGTTCAATCTCATGATAATCCGCGTCTGTACCTACTCGACCGTCGAAGCGGAAGCGGAATCGCAGTGGAAGTCCAGCTCTCGTAGCATTGCTCTTCGTTATAACTCTGAACCTCCTCGTTCCTTCGATTCATTCATACCGCTCGGAGAAAGTGGACTCGCCTTCTGCTCCCGAGCTGTGGGAAGCGGCAAGGATGTGGGCAGCGACGTCGAACTGGCCACTTCGGACGCCGAACATACACTCAACGGGGACCTCACATCGACCTCATCCGTGGTCGGGTTTGCAATATCCAGATGAAGAAGTAGGTTGCTGGACCGAGTGTGTGACGTGATTCCACCCTTGCAGATTCTCTAGGGGGATTTGAGGCGTGGCGACATCGTTCGTGCAACAAGGGTCGTGATTGATGTACTTAACAGATCCATTCAGTTTTTTTTTTGCGGGTTCACGTATCATACACCACGGTTTCGTTATCTGCACCCATAACATATGCGTTCCTGCAGATCTTTGACCTACTTCACAAGTCCGCGCTGTCCGCATTGAGAATGAGCGTCGTGAAGAAGAGAATCACCTCCAAAAAAGACTCGGATTCCATCGCTGTTTCATGTCATCAGTAAGCACGCGCGTTCATACTGACAATGTCTAGAACATACATTCGTTCACGGTATGTATGCGTCCCAACCCGCCGGTGCCTTGATTATGGTGATTGTACCGGAAGATATGCTTGGACAAATCCCAGTAGTACTTCGTATCTGCGCGCATCATTCAGTCTTCACGGGTGGGCCACCGGGAACAAAACCGTACCGGTGTTCCCGCTCATGATTCCGGGCGCCACGAATACCTTCTCCGCCTCGAGGCCCTTGGCCTCCCGCCTCTTCGCGTACGTCGTCCGGATCGAGCCCGAGAGTAGCGCGTACGGCTTCGCGTCTGCATCCGTGGGTGTCACGGGCGCCGGCTCGAGCGCGTAGGGGCTGCTGACGATCAGGTCGCCAAAGGTCGCCTTGGAGTCGAGGATCGTGGCGTCGAAGGCGGTATAGGAGAGGTTGAAGGAGGAAGCGAGGTGCTTGAAGAGGCCGGGATAATGGGCGCGCAGGTCCTTCAAGGAACTGGGTGCCTGCGGTCAGCGGTGGCTGGGGTGAATGAATGCAGATGAGGGCTACACCTGTCCGTTGCGATGCGATGATTCACAAGGGCCTGGGGTAAGCTGCTCAGTACGAACGTCACCTTTCCATAGATAAGGTGCGTACGGTCGCCTGCTCAGGAAGCGCATTCGATTTGACACCACCCGCTACGCTGTTATCCACGTGAGTTCCCTGTCCTGAAGATATGATGGGGCATGAAACATACATGTCAGCCGCCTGCGTCGTACCCGCCAATGCCTTCAGCGCGTTGTTTTCGAACACAATCTCCTCCGCCTTGCGCAGCTGGCGGTCGCTCTTCCGGCCCTTGACGAGTGCACGGCGCAGCTTGGGCGGGACGTCAGGCGCGTGCGCGGCGACACACTGGAGGGTCTGGTAGACGGGAGTGCCGCGGGAGAGGTGCACAGGGAACGGGTTGGCTTCGAGGTGAACGAGCAGCTACGAGGAACTGAGAAACACTGTGATGAGGGCGTGTGTAAAGCTGGCTTACGGAAGACAGCATGCCGATGCTCTAGAGGGCAAGGATTCAGATCGACCAAGGCTTTCAAGGCACAATCACGCACTGTATGCTTCGGAGGGATACTACGACGGAGGACTCGATATCAGCTACTTCAATATGCACACACGCCGTCGACTTGCCTCGAGTGTCCACCAGGGGTGTGTATCTCGATTTTGACATTGGCGGAACCCTTTTCGCCGATGCCTGGCGTCGCGAAGATGCCACCGAACTGTTCCACGTAGCCAGCTGCGGATATATGCTATCAGCACTAACATCAAGCGAGCGGGCATGACAGTCGGACTCGCCTCCCTCATCGATGATCAGCGCGAACGCGTCTTTCCCGTACTTGTCCAGAAGGAACTCGGCGAGCGGTTTGGCGCCCTAGAAAAGTGACATTCCTAAACGTCAAGCCATGGTACAGCATAGCATGCATATCAGTTTACCTGAGGTCCGCCCGCCTCTTCATCGAAGCTGGCGACATCATGAGCAAAAATCTTCGGGCGTGCGCAAGTTTGGCCCACCCGAATGACAATACAATGGACCGGGTAGGCTGGAATTTGTGCTCGAGCAAGGTCTCGATCGTAGCCAAGATCGCGATGAGCCCACTCTTGTCGTCTGAGCTTCCACGGCCCCAGATACTTTCGCCTGCACGACAAGATATAGCTTGAAACTGAGCGAGCGGATAGAGATAGGGGGTCATACCATCAAAGTAGCCGGAGTACGGCGGGTGTGCCCACTGATCTACGGTATCAGGGTTGACCGGTACGACGTCTGAGAGAATATTTCAGATATATGCGAAACTCAGAAGGTTGGAAGGCATACCTTGATGCCCCATCAGGAGGATCGGTTTGAGCGTCGAGTCGGTGCCTGGCCATTCGTAGAGCAGACCATACGTATTGACCTTCGTGAGCTTCAGACTCGAATGTCTGCACGTATGCGTGAATATGCGGCTCATTATCAACCAATCGACCATGCTCACATCGTCGGGAACGCCTCTAACAGATACTCATGGAACGGCCCACGGGTATCCCACCGTTCGTCCTCCCCGACAGGCCCCATGTCATCGTATGTCTCTGTCGGAACCCGTACGGCACCGCTCAACCAAGAGATCGCCCGCTTCTCGTACGAGTCCTCCGCATACAACGCGCTCAAGTTCGCCCACAGCTCACCGTTCGCGCCTGCCGGCTCGAGCGCGTCCACCTGCGGGCACGCGCCGTCGGGGTCGACGTACCCGCCTGGCGGCGACGACGGCCCAAAGTGCTCGCAGATGAGGCGGGGTAGCAGCCAGAACAGGACGTAGAACGTCCAGTAGAATTTGAGGAGGAAGAAGACCCTGGATTTCGTGGTCCACTTCGCGGGCTTGGAAACCCGGCCCTCCGCTGCCTGAGGCAACAGGGCCTTGGTGTCGTTCGCCATCGTGGAGAGAACAGAGCTGTATTCTTCTTACGCGCTCATGCAGTGCATGAGAGGCCGGGGTGTGTATATCTATGACGTGATGCCGAGCTAATATGATGAAGCAAAATACAGCATACATGAACGCAGTTAATTACCGCATTTATACTGACTACAGGCTACTTACAGAAGTAGAACGCCGGCATAGGATGAGGTTTATATTCATGTGTACATATTCCGGCCCAATCGGAAACTGGTGCCCTCATTAGCCGGTGCGCAACGCGTCCCTCTCGTCCGTCCGCATGAGAAAAAGGCTACGCGTTGATGGGAGGCACCTCGCCCACCCTACTCGCTCTCGGTGTTTTCAAGCTATCCACGCCGTGTTCGTGAAAGAGGACAGCAAACGCGAGCTTATAGGAAAATTCATAGCATTTCTACTGGGACAGCATCACTATTAGCTGCACATCGACATGGGCTCCGCAATATCGTTCGTTACGCACGATTTACCGGCCTTCATAGGGCAGACGTTCCCGCCAGCGGCGAAATGGAGCACAGACCAAATCCCTGATCTAACCGGGTTCGTGTGCATAGTGACCGGTACGTTCCTGTTTACACGTAGTGCGTGCTCGGTAACTAATCACTCTTCTTAGGCGGTAATATCGGGATAGGGAAGGAGACCGTCAAGGTAAGCAATGCTCCAATGGACAGTGAGAACACGCAATGACACCATATTCACGCAGGCGTTGCTCCAGCACAATGCGAAGGTTTACCTCGCCGCAAGGTCTCAGCAGAGGGCCGATGAGGCTATCAAGGATTTGCAGAAAGACACCGGCAAAGAAGCCATCTTCTTGAAGCTCGACCTATCCGACCTCAAGGCTATCAAGGCGGCAGCGGAGGAGTTCCTGAGGTATGTATTGCGCGTCTTAACCGAGACGACTTCACTCTAAGACGTTAATGCCAGCAAGGAGACCAAGCTTCATATTTTGTTCAACAACGCGTGGGTCTCCTACTATTTGCAATGGAGATGTTGACTTAACCTCGTACGGCAGCGGTGTCATGTCTTGCCCCGTCGACCTCACCACCGCGGACGGCTATGACCTCCAATTTGGCACCAATGTCCTAGGTAACTCCCTTTCCTCGCACTCAGCGTTATCCAAATTGAACATATCGCAAGGCCACTTCTACTTCACGAAGCTGCTCCTCCCCACGCTGCTCTCCACCGCCGAAACCGCGCCGAAGGGCACGGTCCGCATCATCAACACCTCCTCCGCCGCGCACTACATGTCCGGTCTCGATTTTGCGACTTTCAAGGACGGCCCGAAGCGGCGTAAGCAAAACACGGACCTGCTCTACTGCCAGAGCAAACTCGGCAACGTCGTGTTCACGAACGAGCTCGTCCGTCGCTACGCCGATAAGGGCCTGATCTCCATCTCGGCGCACCCGGGCGTCATCCGCTCGAACCTATGGCAGCATTCGCCCAAGCTTACGACCAAGATCATGGTACGTCGGCTGCCCCACCCGGCCCCGCGCGTACGACTGAAGGAAGTTTCTTCCAGGGTTCGGTTATGCACCCGGCGTCGAAGGGTGCTCTGACACAGCTCTATGCGGGCACGGCTCCCGAAGCTGCGGATCTGAACGGCAAGGTATCGTCTCGCTCGGCCAACCCCACATATCTTCGGGCTGACGTGGTCTTGCAGTACCTGGGCCCGTGGGCGAAAGAGTGGAGCCCCAAGCCATTGTCCAACGACCCGAAGCTCGGAAAAGAACTCTGGACCTGGCTGGAGGAGCAGGTCAAGGACCTTTAGGACGTTTATCGGCGTGTTGGGAACCAGAACGTCGCCTACGCTCGTATACCCTCAATATACCTTCCTACTGCCAGGGAATTCGAACGGTTGTATGTTTTTGATTAGATCGACAACGTGTACCAAGCTCGGAATGGCGTCTCCCTTTTCGAGCTGATGTGTTCAGCATGAACGTGTCGCTGTCGAAGGTGGAACGGCCAGAAGATGGCTGAACCAGTGCTCATCTGAAGTGAGCATCTTATGTCGAACTTTGTCTGGCGCGTCGTCTTGCCTCTGGTGCCGTATCAGGCTCATTCCCCCTTCTTTCCTTTCCTGACCATGATGCAGACACGTACTCAATGATCGCATGCCCACTATCTCGTCACCAACGTTCGACAAGGAACCCTCGAAGCATGCAGCGACTGCATCTCCACTTTATCCTGCCGGCTATATAGTATAAAGATTCAGGCCAAGTGTTCACGACCCATTTGAGACACCCTCCTTGAAGCTCGAGAACATCGTTTGTGGGACGATCGTGCCCCACGTTCAGTCAGCGCGTGGCTCAAGGTATCTGTTAACGACCGGATCCGCGGTCGTGCTATAAAAGCCTCCCCAGAGTCCTTAAGAATGAGTGCCCTGGACTACCCGACCCTCTGCCCGCCCATTATCTGACAATGCAAGCCGCCCCGCCGCCACCCGGTCCTCTTGGCCGCTATCGCCTGCTCTCACCGACTGCTGGTCTGCGCGTGTCACCTCTGTGTCTTGGCGCCATGAACTTTGGAGAAGGCTGGAAGGAGCTCATGGGAGGTGAGCACCATTTGACATGCTGTAGTAACGAGACCACACCGATGATCGTGCGTGTTATTAGAATGTTCTAAGGAGACTGCGTTCGAAATCCTTGATTACTTCTACGAGCAAGGAGGAAACTTCATCGATACGTACGTCTACCAGCCGGCTGACATGACATTCCGTTCTGACGTCCAACAGAGCCAACGCGTACCAAGGCGGCGACTCCGAGAGATGGCTCGGCGGGTGGATGGCTTCACGCAAGAACCGCGACGAGATGGTCATCTCTACCAAATACACGGTCGGCAATGTCCCGGATGGTCAATCCCCGAAGATCCGTGTTAACTACCAGGGCAACCACATGAAGAGCATGAACCTATCTCTCGAGTCGTCCTTGCAGCGACTGCAGACCTCGTTCATCGATATAGTAGGTCGCGCGCTCCACGCCTTCCGCTATACGTGCTGATAGATCCCGAAGCTCTACGTTCACATGTGGGACTTCTCTACCCCCGTCGAGGAGGTCATGATCGGCCTCAACCGTCTTGTCATGGCCGGCAAAGTCAACTACCTCGGCATCAGCGACTGTCCTGCCTGGATCGTCGTCAAGGCAAATAACTACGCGCGCCAGCACGGCCTGGCCCCTTTCGTCCTCTATCAGGGCCGCTTCAGCGCCGCCAATCGCGATGTCGAGCGAGAGGTCCTTCCCATGTGTGAGGACCAGGGCCTCGGCTTCTGCGCCTTCGGCACCTTGGGAAGCGGTAATTTCAAGACGAAGGAACAGCGCGAGAAGGAGGCCCGCGAGGGCGTCAAGGGCAGGAACTCGTTCACCAACAACACCTCCGAGCATTACATCAAGATCACCAACAAGCTCGCAAAGTTAGCCGCGAAAAAGAACACTCACATCACTAGTGTGGTACGTCCCGAGGTCGTAACGAAGCTCACCTCGATCGCTAACGACCCACAATACAGGCCATGGCCTATGCGATCCAAAAGGCGCCTTATATATTCCCTCTCATCGGATGTCGCACCCTCGAACAACTGAAATCCAACGTCGAAGCGCTCAAGCTGAAGCTGACCGAGGAGGAGATTAAGGAGATCGAAGCAGCGGATACCTTCGAACCCGGATATCCCTTCCAGCTCGTATTCCAGATGTACAACCCTGCCGTCCCTTACCATGCCCGCATGACCATCAGCGATATACCTGGCGCTTGTTGGGCGGGTGTTATTGAGGCTGTCGAGAAACCTCGCGCTATTCACCCTCACAGTTGAGCGGGCGTCCATGTGCTTCGCGAGTAGCAGTTACAGCATCAAAGAGGCCATTTTGATTCGAAGCCGGCGATGTATCGGTGCTATTCGACCTCGACCACGGTGATGTGACGAAGCACAGCTCCACATTACGACGCGCAACATGAGAAAGGGCTAGTTCCACCATCACGCCAGCAGTACCCTAAATTACTGCTTGCAGCCACGTTGTATGCCAAAACTCAAAGCATCACGGGCCACATCGTGCGATCGTACAGCTCTTGAAGAAGCAATCTTTACTGAAGATGCATACTCATTGCATAATTTCAACATCATCCCGATTCGTTCGAGAAACGTCACGTGACTCCCCGGTTTTGAATGAGCCCTATGACCAGAAAGGAAGTGCCCGTTCGCACAACAACTTGACCACCGGTTTTACGATTCGTGAAGTTAGACACCACAATTCAATATCGAGTCCCCAATACTTATTCCTATCGGCCAGTTCCCCCGTGCTCCTCATGTTGCCGACTAACGCAGCCCATCCCTACTTCCCCGATATGAAGGTCACCTCGCCTGAAGCGGCAAAACCTGTCCTTCCCAAGCCGGACTTCGTGAAGTATCCCTGGTGCAAGTACTTACTTTCACCGTACACGGATAAAGAATCTCGTTCTCGCGAGGTTCGTACTGCGAGTCACTTTACATTGCGTTACTCTGAAGCCACTATGAAAATTAGGAAGTTTTACTACTTGCTGAAACGTTTCAGCCACTCACCGAACTTCCGGTGATGTTCGACCCGTTGTCGGAAGAAGGCCTCCAGTACTTCCCGCCGACATTCTTCTTTGGCTGGCGCGTAGACGATGCAAAGACGCGGGAGATTGCTCACGGGCTTGACCTTGTGTGGTACTGGGACGACAACGGCATGGGCTCCTCGTGGAAATCGAAGAAAGACGTTCGCGACCACGACGTGGTCGATGACGACTGTACCCTTACCGAGGTTCAAGAATACCTCCGAAACGTCTTCACGCTCGAGGTCACGTATGGCACGTCGGACAGGGACGATCCGTTCCAGATTGTCTGGTCTTTGCATAACAACTGGACTCCGTGGCATGAACGTTCTACCGATGAGTCGGTCGCTGAGCTGCAAGCGGAACTAGGTTTCGACGAGCCGCCGAAGTGGTATCTTAGTAACAGCGTATGATATTTTGCTGTCACATGCGCGTAGTTACATTTGTACCTGTTCTTTTTTGTGTCTCGTTCAGTTAGTCCACTGTTTTCATAATCGCTGTCACCCATTGCTGATGGAATGGTATCACGTACCGCGTATGTTATCAGAGGATTTTGCGATTATCAAAGGCATGTGGAAGAAGATCAAGGGCAGCGTATGAATCTGATATCAAGTCCGGACCTCAACGATACTACCCTATATCGCCTCTAAGAGGATATTTTATGGAGCTGTGTTCCATTGTGACGTACTGCTTCTATGCTAAGGGCGGAAGTAGTCGTCAGTCTACTCAACCAAGGAATAGATGATCATACACTGGGGCGTGTACATGGCTTCCGGAAGACTCCGATGCCGTCGGATTGCGGCCAGTGGTAACAGGACCCCCGAATGCTCTGCCAAGGGGGTGATCAGCGCTCAAGTAGGGAGGTGCTCTCCGTTCGCACAACCAGGATATGCATAGCACGCCGGAAGGTGGAATTCTCTTACCTACCGCCTTGCCCTCGAAATTAGCACATATGCATCAAGGAAAATCATAAAACCTCATTCTGAATGCATTTGCTCGTCCCTCGATCCGGTACTTGCTCTGCGCTCGCCAGATACGTCGTTCATATGCCTCAAGGATTCTAGGGGTCAGACACCGCGATTCAGTGATGATTCGTTTGACAAGCTGCCTTCGCTATATATACGAGCGGAGGATATCCCAACCCGATGGGCCGAAGTTCGTCCTCATACCTGTCGTACTTGTCATACGCGCCGTTTAAAGGGAGACGCCCGCCTTCGTCGGGGGTCTGCGACTAACTTGCATCCCGAGCGGAAACAAGCAGGGCTGTCTACCATCCTGCGAATTCTAGATCAGACCGAGCGCCCCGGAGATCATACATCATATATACCATCCCGCTCTCGTCTACCCAAAATTGTCGTGTTTCCCTGCACCCGCGATCCTCAGCCGCATGTCTCTCTCCTCGGTGAGTGCTCTAGCCTGCTCCTCTCTACTCGTGAACGTTTGATTCTGAACGTTGATCGCTGCCCGAATAGCTTCCGGAGTACGCGCCTTTCAAAGATAGAAACGATGAATCACAAACCGGTTTACACGTATGAATCTTTCCCCGTTATCAACCCCACGCTTGCTGACGTGTCAGACAGAACGACGAGCTGAAGTCCTCTCTATTGAAACTCATCCACGCCGACCCTCTTGGTCGCCTCAACCCGCTGCTCACGCTTCTCGACGCTGCCGAGCACCCGGAGGACGATTTTACTGACGCCCTCACCCAGGCGGTCGCCGTCATCCAGAAATTCAATGAAAATGACCCAAGTTCAAGGCCCGACAAGACTGTGGACGTCGAGCCCGAGCTTTGCCTCTTCGGGACGGTGTCGGCGAAACCTCTTCCAGGCGGCGAACCGGCTATCCAGGAGCTCAAGTTTCCTAAGGGCAAGGCCACTTTCGCAAATTGGGGTCATACGATCTACTACGAGCCCGAGGCTACCTTCGTGGTCCGTACTATTGAGGGCGTGTGCGAGCTCGTGAAATGGGCCGCCCGCGAGGGTAAGAAGGTGCGCGTTGCCGGCTTTCGGCACTCGTGGAGGTATGTCCGAGGGTCTCAACTCCCGACGTAAAAATTGACGATTGACCCGGGCTTGCAGCGAGCTCTTCGGCGGGCCAGACTCCGTCCTGCTCATGTTCCTCCCGTACTCTACGCTCGTCAAGCTCCCTTACAAGTCCCCGCCGGCCGACTGGAAGACGGAGTTATCCGGCGCGACTCTCGTGCCATCCGTCGCCGACCGCCGGCCGGATGCGGAGCACGCCTTCGTGCGCATCATGGCCGGCACGACGAACGACCAGTTCCGCGCGTGGTGCTACCAGCATAAGACGGTCTGCATCCCGTTCAACGTGATCATGGTCGAGATCACCTTCGGCGGCTCGAATGCACCGATCTGCCACGGCTCTGGCTTTGGGTCGTCCACCCTCTCAGACTTGGTCGAGCAGGTGGAGTACGTCGACGCTCGGGGTAATGTTCAAGTCGTAAACGACCCACGGGAGCTCCGCGCGGCGAGCGGTTGCTTCGGCTTGTTAGGTGTCGTCGTTGCGATCACGCTTAGAGTGGACAAGATGGGAGTTGCCGAGATGGTTCCCGTCAAGATCCCTATGGTCCTCGCTGTCCCACCTCCGAAAGGATACCCAATACCTGACGCGGTCAAGGATATGATCAAAAAGGATAATATCACTGAGGACCAATTAGAGGCTGCGCGCTTGCAGTTCATCCGGCGATGCAAGGAGGATTATTACCTCGAATGGTTCTGGTTCCCGTATCAAGCCCATTGCTGGGTCAACACGTGGAAAAGTGTGCTCTCTCTTATTGTCATGACGAGACCACATCCCTGAACACTTCTTGCTCAGAGCGCGCTATGACAGATCAGGATCTCGATCTTCCCGAATACCCAGGAAGCAATCTGTTGACGGGCGTCAAAGCGCAACAGGTTCGTTCAACGACCGCAGTTTCCGTCTGGTAACTGACCCGTTTACGTGTATCACTCAGCTCGAGTCTTCTCTGGCGGAAGCGATCACGAACTGGGCCCCTTGGAGTTGGCTGGATGGTCAGAAACAGGCATACGTCTTCGGGCTTAGCGCGATGGTCGGCCTACCCAATGTGACGAAGCCGGAAGACACGATTCAGACCTACGTGAGCGAGGCCTTGCATTTCAGACGCGGAATCCGTGCGTAGTTTTGCTCCCTTCCTGAAACGTCCGACCGACGAAAGTATCCTCCAGAGAACTTCCGGTGTTGGGACAGCGAATGGGAGATACCGATTCCAGCAACGGCCGATGGGGACAGAGATTACGAGCTCGTCCAACGAGCCTGGTGAGTACGATATGCGCTTCTCCCGTCCAGTTCGCTTAGGAAATCATGAATCCACAGGTGGGATGGCATTTCCGCCATGTACTCTCGCAAGGACGCTCCAGCGCGTGTCGCGCTCGAGATGCGATTAACCGGCTCGTCCAACGTCCTTCTTGCGCCCCAGCGTGGCAACGCAAATGGCACGATCTCCATCGAGGTCCTCACGACACTCACCACTAAGCAAGAGGACTGGCAGAGCTTCCTGCAGCTCGTCGCGGACAAATGGACGTCCTATACCGACCGCGACGGGAACCGGCTGAACGCGCGCCCGCACTGGGCGAAACAATGGGCTGGACTGATGGTCGACGGGCTTCCCGTGGAGAAGTACTTCACGGACGTGGCGTATAAGGACGCGTTCGTCGAGTTCAGGGCGGAATTCGATGCCGTGGTGACGAAGCGGGGAGGCTCGACGGAGGAGACGCTGCGGAGATTCGGGAATTCGACGATGGAACGATTGATCTTCCCGATGCAGTCAGTGAGGACTCTTGACTGCTTGACCTCCGCTGACCCCGTAAAACCAACGCAGAGCTCGGCTGGACAAGCAAACAGGTTCTGACGTCAAGAAACCGTATGCGGAGCCACATAGGTCTCGAAATCCGATCGTGCGATTGTTCGGGGGCATATGGAAGAAGATCAAAGGTTTGTTCGGGAGCAGCGTATGAATATGAAGTTCGAAATTAACGGTATTTACCCTATATGTATGACCTCTGAGCGCGAGTACTTAATCTCATGTACCTGTATTCGATTCTCATATACCGCTTTCATGCTAAGGTCGTAATTAGTTTTTAAATCGCTTAAACCGAGCCATGGATAAGTATACAATGCGGCCCATATATAGTATGCGATTCTTGGGTTCACGCGATTTTCTCGATCATGATTTGCTGACGACCGACTCGTTTTAACGACGACGTGTAACGGGCGTGGGAGAGAGGCGATAGAAGCTGCCAAGTGTATTGGCGGGCAATTCAGTTTCAAGATGGTTGAATGTATTCCCGTCATGGATCTGACGCGATGGCAATAGAAAAGAAACAATGACGGTCCATGTATGGAATTAATGATATGATAGATGCGTCTCCTTCACTTTCTGCACGTCACGGTGTCGTCCCAGTTCTCCGCGCCGATGGCCAGGACGGTCATGAACAGGTCCGTCGGATCCCACGCCTTCTTGAGCTCCACCAAGCGCGGGTAATTCTCGCCCCAGAACGCGCCGGTGAAGTCGCCCTCCCAGTACCCGATCTCGTTCAGGTACGTGCCCGACGCGGGCGTCAGGCTCACGAGCTGGTCGTTGTATGCCTGCGCGGTCTCGGCCGCCTCCTGTGCGAGGGGAGGAGGGGTGCCGTCGAGGTAGCCGACGCCGACGCTGAGGTTGATGAGCGACGAGCGCCAGGCGGGGTGCACTGCCGCGGAGGAGACCGGGTGCTGCGCGACGGCGCCGCCGCCGACGAGGAAGCCGCGGCCGCCGAGCGGGAGGGAGGCGCAGAAGGAGGTGATCGCGGAGAGGTTTGTCTGGTGTGCGGGGTCGTCGGTGAAGAGGGCGGTGGGGAGCAGGCGCGAGGCCGTATACCCGTTGACGGCGACGACCTGAGAGAGGTGGAGTGTCAGAGAGTTGGTTTACGTAGTGGGTGTGTGCGAGAAGGACTCACGTCGCCCGCGGTGTAGTTGTATCCGATGGCGTTCGGAGAACCGTTCTTGAAGTTTTGCGCATACCAGTCGTGGAAACGGGCGTAGCCTACGGTTTGATTCGTCTTAACGCTTACGCCGGGAATTTGTGCGATCTTGTTGATGAGCGGCGTGATGGAATTCGCGGCCTGGTCGACGTCGGTGATATTCAGGTTGATGTACGTCCACGCGAAGTAGTTCGGCGTCCACTGTATGCGCGGTATCGTCAGCTCAAGAGCACCACGCGTTGATCCCCATTCGGAACGCACCGGATAGAAGCCAGTCCAGCCCGCGTCCGCGAGCGGTCCTTGGGCGTTGTGGAACACTTCGAACACCTTTTCGAAGGCGTCCGACGTGACCGTGTACGCCTCAAAGTAGCTGGCGGTGATCGTTTGCTCGGGGTGCAGCTTGTACGTAGTACTCGTCACGATTCCGAAGCTTGGACCACCTCCACCACGGAGAGCCCAGTAGAGATCCTGATGCACGTACGGGCTGACGTAGATGAGCGTGCCGTTGGCGGTGACGAGCTCAAATCCGAGGACGTTGTCGACGCCGAGGCCATAGTAAGGCGAGAGCGCGGAGTGGCCCGCACCCTGCCACCAGCCGCCACCAGCGCCAACAGTTCCTCCCGCAGCAAAACCACCTGTAGCAGTCGCAGTACGTAAGCACCCGAGAGAGCGATAATGATCCGGGCGGGAGACGTACCGATGATGGTGTGGTTCTGTGTGGAGACGGCGTCGTAGAGTTTTCCCCAAGGGACTCCAGCGCCGATCGTGACGGCAGGCACGCCGAGAGTGCCACGAGGAGCGTTCAGCGGCACGTACGACTCCGAGAACTCGATGGATTGCATGTTGTGCGTCCAGAGGAGGAGACTACCGTTGCCCATGCTGCGAGACTGGCCATGGCTACATGACGAGCCGTTTTGTCAGCTGAGGGCAAACAGGCTGGATACGTATACGCACCCACTGTTCTTGATGATGAGTTTCAGGTTGTGGTGAGCCGCAAAGTTGACAGTCTTCTGTACATCTGAAGCCGTGGAAGCGTTTACGCCCAAGACAGGTACTGGTCACGAACACTCAGGACACAACGATGATGCAGTGAGAGACGGCGCTCACCGTTCCCTTGATCACAGGGGGTAATCAGCGGGGCTTCGGGCAGGCACGATTGGGCGCCGAAGCCGAGCTCTTCTGCGTTCACGTATTCGCTCGCGCCGGGCTGGTTTGCGCGCCAGGTGCCGTTCTGGTAGTTGGCGAGCACGTTCGCGCACTCGGCGGCGTCGTAGTGCGGGAGATGGCACGGGTAGCCGATCGGGCGCACGGTGAGGAGCGGGTGTGAAAGGCTGGCGGAGAACGCGGCCTGCTCGGAGGCGCTCGGCCAGCAGGGCTCTTTGGGCGTGCAGCGGCACCGTGGTGGGGCTTGGTGGGAGCCGGCGGCGAGGCCGACGAGACTCAGCGCCAGAGAGAGCGTGACGGCACGCATTTCGTGCCGAGGTGGATAAGGAGCGTCGGAGGTGTGGTAACTCTGGCCGGCGCTGAGGCGAGGCTTTATGTCGTGGAGAGACGGCGGGATGGGATCCATCGAATGGTAGGCGCTTCATGGCCCGGTGACGACAGACTGCCGGGAACCGCAAACGATCATGGTAGGCGGATTCCTCAACGGAGAGCGGTGCTTTACGAGCGCCGAACAAGGCGACAATGTCGTCCATCGTTGATGTGCGCCACGTCGCGATATACTCGCAACATTCCTGGACAGATATTGGGGATGAATCGAAAGAGTCCAGGACATTGCCACAAAGACGGACGATACTTGCAGCTCCTAGGACGATTTGGGATAGTCTAAAAGCCGCTGATACGGATGTAAGGCGGAGTTGCCACCTATACAGTCCGCCCAGTTGACAGCATGACGGGCCGTGTATCGCAGGACTGCTTGCGTCATGCGTGCACCTATCGGAGGTAAGTGTTGCATACGCGAGACGTTTGCTGCCGGTGTTGAGCCCGGACCGATCGCCTTGTGATTGCACTTTGGCGAGCGGACCCAAGCGCGACCCATCGATGCCAGTTAATATCGGAGCACCGTCGACAAGTACAACTTTGGACGAGACTGCCAGTCGTTTCTTTGGAGCGAGTGTTAGGTATGTAGTAAGTTCGGCTTTCTAGAGGGGCTCGGGAGAGACGAAATAAGCTTTTGAGTCTGCAACCATCGTTAAACGTTGGTTAAACGCGGAGAAGAAAGCAGGTGGACCGGAACTGCTTCGGTGCCGATGAGCCGAAGCCGTACGTAATCAGTACTCTTTGTGCCCGAACCCGTTCTTGCGACACGTTTCCGCGACCCAGCCCGTGAATGTACTCGACCGAACGAGGGCTGACATTACTGTGAAGCGCCTTTGATACGCTGTTATTGGCCTTCGGTAGTCAGAGAGACACTGATCAGCCCGCTCCGACTTGGCTTCCAGCCGCACACTCCAGCAACGTCTGTGCGTGCTCTAGAAGAGTACCCCCAAAATACGCGACGTAGGTTGAAGAACCAGAAGAAACAGGACTTGATGTACACCACTTCGTCAGTATAATAAGTCGTAACTTGTCTGCAAAAACTTACTCGGCTCACATTCACTCTTTTTGGTTAGACGAAAGGATGCCCACTGGCCCAACGAGGAGCAGGAGATCATTGACAAGGAGATAAAGATGGCCCTGGAACAGATCGAATCTTTACGCAACCGTGTGCGCTCGCTGCGCGAGCGTCGCAACTCCCTAGCCCCAGTGAACCGCCTCCCTCCTGAGGTGCTAACCTCCGTTTTCCAACTATGTGTTCTCAACGCAACCCCCTCCCGCTGCGGTCATGCCTTCGTCGCGGTATCCCGACGTTGGCGCGAAGTTGCACTCGGCGCCGCCATTCTCTGGACATTGCTCCCGCGTTCCACGACAGAACTCACCGAATTGTTTATATCACGGTCACAACACGCACCTCTCGAAATTGACATCGGCGATTACACCACGGACTGGACGAACTCGGGCGCGAGCGCTCTTTCGGCTGTCATGAACAGGGTCCAAACGCTGTCCTACAGCATATTTGAAGAAGACGTCAAACCTGACGTACACGCTCTATCCCTCCCTACCCCACTCCTGATCGACTGCTCGGTAAAAAATTTTGTACGGTATCCGTTGAATCTGCCAGAGAACTTCTTGGGATCATTTGCCCCTCGCCTGCGTCGTCTCCGACTTTACCAAACATCATTCCAATGGTCAATGCTACACTACCCTTCACTCGTCAGTGGCCTTGTCGACCTTCAGGTCCACGTCGACGGGGATTCTTTTCCGTTAGCAAACGAACTAACCACGGCTCTCCGCTTGATGCCATCCCTGCGCAGGCTGGTCATTATTAGCGTTCAGGAGTCAGGCGGGTTCCCAACGACGACAACGACATCCGGAGAGGTCGCCGAGATGAACAATCTGGAGTTATTCAAGCTTTACGGCCCTGCGCGCAACGTTTGCGATATTTTGGATCACCTCATCGTTCCTCCCCGCGCGACGTTGGTATTGCGCCTGGAGGGAGAAGACGAGGATTGGGACGTCGGTCCCCTTCTGCGATTCCTGGAACGCCACTGCACGTATCAGAGCGGAGGACCAGACATTCGAGGATTGATGTACCGCCGGGTCACTTGGCTCCCTTGGGATTTCGCGGCATGCGCGAAGCCCAATCCCAGTCACGAGAGCGTCCAGTCACTGCTCATTTTAGGCTTGACCCATCCCCGCTTGGACGCCTCGCACGTCCTCCAACACCTTCGCCTCGATCGCCTCGAGACGGTCGAGGTCAAGAAGAAGACGAGAGCCTCCGACGTCGATGCGGCTGGCAGCGTCGCGCGCTTTCTCGAGCATTGCGGGCACGCGACCGATCTGGAGATTGGTGAGCTCGGCTTCTGCACGCAGGTCGTACCGCTGCTCGCGCCGTCGGCCGGTTCCGTTCTGGTTCCGCGGCTGCAGCGGTTAATGCTGGACCTTGACAGTCACGATCGGCCAGTCGAGCTCGTCGCAGCGCTTCGAGAGGTGTTGACCAAACGATACGAGAGGCTCGGTGTGATGCCAGAGCTCATCTTCGTCAATTTCTCCGGATTCAAGGATGCTATCCCTCCCGCTGTTCTGGAGGAGCTCGGTCAAATCACCACGATCCGCGTGGTAGGTAGGTAGATTAACGGCACCTCCCTGTACCCATGCGGTAGCAAGCCTGATCAGTACATCAGAATTGAATCTATCTAAGTCATTAAAAGAGATATTTATCGGCAGCGACTACGGGCGAAGGATATAGAGCGGCATTCGTCGTTGACATGCTCCTCTTGGTCCCTCCACAGGAACGGCCGCACATGTACGCGTGGATCGTTATGCGGCGTGGTGGAGACAGTCCTCCCGGTTTTTTACGACTACACGGACTTCCGAGTCGTTGTTCCTCTGCATTCGATAAACTAGCTCGCTCTCTGTCATGTCCTCGTCAAGCTGCGCGCTGAATTGATGCGAGGATAGATCATTTCATTCCCGTTCCAGTTGCAATACATTGAGTGTCTAAGCAACAGTCTCACTCCTTATACCCAATTCCGACTGTTCGCTCTCGAATTTACGACATGTTGTGCGTCCGGAGGAGGAGGAGACTACCGTTGCCCATGCTGCGACTCTGGCCATGGCTACGTGACGTGGCCCTTTTGTCAGCTGGGTGGAGTAGAGCAGGCATGCGTTGCACCCGCTGTTCTTAATGATAAGTTTGAGATTGTGGTGTGTTGACGGTGGCCTGTTCCGACTCCCCCGGAGCTTGCGGAGGTTGGAGTTGGTTAACAGGTGGGATTTGGCGGGCTCCTGGAAGATTGTGACTCTCTGTGACCACACTGTTACTGCCGCCAAAACGTGATTGAATCGTGATTCGAGCGTGATGTTTCGTAACATGTGGCGATGTCCAAACTCTGCCCCCGTTTATCACCGCTGTCACTGAAGGCAAAGGCTAAAATCGTCAACAAGATCGGAACAGGGACTCCCGCCCTATTTTGGAGTATTGTCCCTAATATGTCGGAAACGTCGGCCGATCAATGGGTCAGTCAGGGTTTTCCATTCGGGGTGTTAAAGGAATAGGCCTGTCTTTTGAATTCAACCGCTTCATGGCTTTGCTCGGTGAGATGTACGATCCAGGAAACAAAAATCACCGTGAGCAATTCTCATGGTCTCCATACAATGCTAATGCCTCCGGGACAGTCACTCTTCCAATCTACAACGGCACTGTCGAGTTCAACACTCGCCCTGGTGGGAGTGAATCTCCTCCAGTCAACAAGAGCTGTGGCCTGTGGATCTCGATTCGCTCAACTGTAAAGGAACAACAGTTCTACGTTCCTGGAGTACGGTGACATGAGTGAGTCTCCTGCCATGCATTCGGTGTTCTAATTCTCTATGTTAATTACCATATAACAGTACCGATTTATGACGGGCGCAACATGTCCGAGGTTCAACCAAACTCACCGGACTTCAAGCTGTCATCGCTCATGTCCTTCGAGGGCAACCTGAAGGGGACTATCTCTATGGTTGAGTTTAAAACGAATATGTGGATCAAGCAGAACGGTTCTTCTCAGATTTGGCTCAACATCAAATTGGTGACTATTCTTGTTACTTGATATATTACTACCAGTGCACCGCAATTGCCATGATGTGATAGTACGTTAAATGCCTTAGTTGCACCCATCCGCACGTCTACAACCGGAAATGAATCCTCGAAACTTCCCTGACCAAAACCGCCGTGCACTCCACGATGGACGGTGGTCATACAATGATACACTACCGAAGTATCTGACCGGCTGAGATCCGTCACCGGTCCATCTCCCATTTTTTGTAGTGGATGAGGGCCGGTTCAGCTCCTGTAATACACCCATGAATGCTCTTTTTGCGGGCTCCCGGTAGCCGCCTACCTTTAGTATAGATCGGAGAGTATTCCTCTCCAGCCTGGTCAAATGGGGAGTCGGACCGGCGCGTCCATGGCGCGCCATACCCCCACGTAAAGTACACCTACCAGATCATGATCCCTGCCCCTCGTGACCTCGCGAGTCTCGCCTTGCGCTCTTCTGCTTTTGGGCGATCTACCTACCTACCTACCATATATCGAACAGAATACGGTTGCAGCATGTCGCTTTCCGCTATCTCAGATATCAAGCCCAGAGTCGTCTACCCTGATAGTCCACCAACCGATGAGCCTGTTCTCGAACCCGACCTCGGCAAGTACCCTTGGTTCGAGTTCGTCGTTCACCGGTGGTCGAAACGAACAGACCGCACTGGCGAGGTGAGCCCCGTGGAAGCTTGAAAAGTACGGCCGTAGGACTGATTGTGCTTCACAGGAAGAGAAGGTGGTCGAGGACACCTTTAACGCATTCAGCGAACTACCCGCAGAGTTCGATGCTTGGTCGAAACCCTTGAAGCACGCCCCCCCGGAGTTCTTCCTCGGTTGGCCCTTAGATATGGACCTCGTCCGCTCTTATGCCTTCAAGAACAACATTGCTCATTTTTGCAATAGAGTGACGAACGAGGGCGTCAAAGTTAGGGGTGGCCACAAGCAGGCGCACGAGGTTACTCCCGACGACATCCTGCATAGGAATAAGACCGTATCGGAGATGCAGTACCTCCTCAGGCCCAGAGCTAAGATTGAGGAGGCGTATGGTGTTCCAGATGTCGAGGGTCGATTCGGCGCGGTGTGGTCACTCTGCTCGAACTGGACACCCCCTGATCAGCGCCCCAAGGCAGCGGATATTGCTAAGCTGCAGGAAGAGCTGGGGTACAAGGAAGGGCCGAAGTGGTATATGACCACGTTCGCGTGATGTAACGGTGCTCCGTTCGCTGGATGATCGCAGTAGAGACACTTGGCTGATGCTGAGCATCCTTGTAGTGACGAGCCCATCGTATCCTATGTACGCCTCAACTTCTCCGCGCTGTTATTTCCGTCGATGATACGAGCTCGCAATTTCGAACCTGCGCTAGGCATCACAAGTATGTTCCCGCTCTTGCCGTATATAACCTACGAATGTACTAGCGAGCATAACTGAGTGCATATGCAAGTACTATCCGCCTGTTGTGGTAAACTCAAGTCCCAGATCCTCGGAGATGCAGCGTATCACATTTCAAGTACGTGCCCAACGCAGGCGTCAGGCTCACGAAGTGAACATGTATGCAGTCTTGACCGCCTCCTGTACGAGAGGAGGGGGGGTACCTTCGAGGTGACACTGAGGTTGATCAGCGACGAGCGCCAGGCGGGGTGCACGGCCACGGAGAAGACAGATTATTGCGCGATGGCGCCGCCGCTGCCGCCGCCGCCGAGCGGGAGAGGCGCAGACGGAGGCGATTACAAACAGGTTCGGCTGGTGTCCAAGGTCGTCGGTGAAGAAGGCGGGCGCGAGACGGTGTGACCGTTCACGGTGACGGCCTGGAGTCAGAGACTCAGTTTACGGAGTGGATGGGGGCGAAAGAGACTCGCGTCGCCTGCGGTGTAGTTGTATCCTATGGCATCCAGAGAACCGTTCTTGAAGTTAGCTGAATATTTGCGCATATCAGCCGTGTTAACAGGCGTAACCTAAGTTGGGTTCGTCTTGACGCTTACGCCTCGAATTTGTGCGATGTCGTTGATGAGCGGCGTGGTGGCCTGGCCAACGTTGGTAACACTTAGGTTGATGTACGTCTACACGAAGTAACTCGGCGTCCACTGTACGCGCGAATATCGTCAGCTCAAGAACACCTCGTCAGATTCCATAGAGGCACACCGGATAGAAGCCCGTCCAGGCCGCGTCCGCGAGCGGTCCTTGAACGTTGTGAAGACTTCGAACCCCTGTACGACGGCGTCCAAAGTGATCGTGTACGCCTCGAAGTAGCTGACGTTGATCGCTTGCTCGGGGTGCAGTTTGGTCACCATTCCAAAACTGGAACAGCCTCCACCACGGAGCGCCCAGAAGAGATCCTGGTGCACGTACGGGCTGACGTGGATGACCGTGCCGTCCGCGGTGACAAGCTCGCAACTAAGGGCCTTGTCGACACCACGGCGATAGTAGTGTGAGTGGCCCGCGGGCCGCGCCAGCCGTTGTCAACCATTTGGTCGAAAAACGTGAGCTAAAACCACCGGCGTCACGACTCTCATGTCGTCTACATCGACCAAGCCACCTTATATTACCTGGCCAACCGCAGTGCCCAAGGGCATGCTGGTTCTCAAACCCGATACAAACGAATATCCCTGGTACCCATATCTGACGCAACCGTGGGAGGACAAACCGTCTATACCGCTCATGCTCTGATCGTGATGCTTGACTGCTAGGAGGAATGCGAGATTCGCAAGGCTTTCAAGCCCTTTCGCGAATTGCCTGTGGTGTTCGATCCTTGGGTCGAACCTATGAAGTATGACCCGCCGACATTTTGCTACGGCTGGCCTGTGGACCCAAAGATCACGAATGCCTTCGCCATCAAGGAGAATCTAGCCTGGTATTGGAAGGAAGACGGCATGGGTTCTACATGGAAGGACCAGACCCGGGTCTCTCCTAACGATCACGTCAACGACAACTGGACACGGGTGCAGGTGGAAACTTTTTTCCAGGAGGTGCTGACGCTCGAATATGTGTACGACTCATCGACACCCGGGAGCCGTCCAACATTGTTTTGGTCACTCCACTCGAATTACACGCCTCCTCACAAGCGTCTGTCGCAGAAGCAAATTGCGAAGCTGCAGGAGGACTTAGGATATCAGGATCCCCCTCAGTGGCATCTAGATGCTGATACGTAGTCGCTAGTATGTCTCGCGATTCCGTGTTCGCTGTCTGTCGAGCACTCGTGTTCGCACATAACGCAGTTATACTGTTCACAATAAAAGACAGTGTTGCCTCGAGTTGAACGTAACCGTTGATTGGCAAATGCTCCGGTCTAGCACGATTAGCAGGGAAAATTGGCAGTGAGCACGCGCGACGCAAAACTTCGCTTCAACTTGATTATCTCTCCGACATGCCGCACTGAACGCGCCCGCATAGGCCGAGTCGAGCCATTCCAGCTCGTATGGTCTCTGCATGACAATTGGACCCCATGGCATGACCGTTCCACCGATGACTTGATCGCCGAGCTGCAATATGAACTAGGTTCCGCAGAGCTGGCGAAGTATTATCTTTGTAGCAGTGTCTGAATCTTTCGTTGTGGCTTGTTCAAACACCCACTGCATTTGGGGTACCCTAATGGCCGTGAATAAATCAGAAGGCACGGTTGTCCTGCCACAAATCACAATAACCGAGAGAGGGCAGTGATGTCAGTAACAGAGCAGACCTTCAGAATCGGGCTCGAATCTTTGGGTGATCTACGAGCGGACAACCGTGACGACGCGGGAACAAGAATGACGCGGCACAAGGTGAACAAACAAAACACTCCCTTCGGAGGCCCTCACTAACCCTCCTTGCCATTCCCGGGTTCACGCTACACTCACTATGTCGCTCGTCTCAAATACTACGCCCACTGCACCAAGGGTTGTCGAGCCCGGTTTTGCCAAACCTGGCGAACCGATTCTCCAGCCTGACGACGTCAAGTATCCTTGGTACAAAGTGCTGGTTCTGCCGTGGTCCGAGAAGGGATATCGCGAAGTTGAGGTTCGTGACAAGTTGAAAAGAGAAAATCAAAGACGAAAACGTTCACGTTTATCCTGTCCGCTGAGTTTTCAGGACACCAAGAAGCTCATCGATACCTTCGAACCGCTCCTCGAACTCCCGCCGGAGTTTGACCCCTGGTCACAGCCCCTGAAGTATCCACCGCCGAAATTCTATTACGGATGGCCCGTCGATAGCGCGCTCACGCTGGAGTACGCTCGCCAGCTCGACCTAGTCTGCTATTGGGCAGGCACCGGCGCTGTGGAATGCAAGTCCCAAACCGAGGTCGAACCGGACGACCAAGTCAGCGACGAGTGGACCTTGTACGAGGTGGAGCAGTATCTCAAGCCCGTCGTTTCGCTCGTACAGTCGTACGGAGCGCGAAGCTACAAAGATCCTTATTTGCTGGTTTGGTCGCTGTACACCAACTGGACCTCGCCTGCCCGACGTCCAACGACAGAGCAAATCGCGGGGCTGCAGGAAGAACTTGGCTACGAGGAGGGACCGAGGTGGTTTCTGACTTGCGATGTATGATCGCTCCTTCGATGCTTCCAACGTTGTCGCTGGTCCCTTGCCTGCTTTTCCTGCGCGAATGAACGACTCTTGTACCATGTCATCATGCAACACATATGTAACCACCATTCTTAAAAGACATGATTGTTTCGTACTCTGTTCGAGGAGAACGTGTAAGCGGGGCGACAACGGGAGAAAATGATAAGTACGTAGGCAAGAACGCGGCGCGTCCTGCACGTTTTGCCAGATTCTTCGACCGTCACGCTTATACGCACTCGTCAATATCTCGACCTTCTTCACCCGTACCCATTAAGACCGCCATGACGAACGTCGAGCCCAGGGTCGTCTACCCTCATAGCCCGCGAACAGACGAGACCATCCTCCAACCTGACCTGAATCGGCACCCGTGGTACGAATTCGTGGTTCATCCGTGGTCAAACAGAGTGACTCGCAATCTAGAGGTAAGCCACGATCAAAGTAAAAGTAAAGTGAAAAAAAAAAGGCTCGCAAACTGGGGGGCCGTAGAGAACTCACCTCCCGAGACCAGGAAGAGAAGGTGGTAGAAGACACCTTTGACGCGTTCGACGAACTACCGCCCGAGTTCGATCCTTGGTCGGAACCCTTGAAGCGTGCCCCGCCCGAGTTCTTCCTCGGCTGGCCCCTGGATATGGCCCTCGTCCGCGCATATGCCCTCAAGAACGACATGGCGTATTTCAAAAACAGGTACAACGCGGCGGGCGTTAGGATTTCTGGGGGCTACATGCAGGCGCACGAGGTCACGTCGGAGGACGTGCTCAACAAGATCTCGACCTTGACGGAGATCCAGCTGCACCTCCTGCCGAGGGTGAAGATCGAGGAAGCGTACGGCGTGCCGAACGTCGAGGGCCGGTTCGGCGGGCTGTGGTCGCTCTGCTCGAACTGGACGCACCCGGATCGGCGTCCGTCGGAGGAGGAAATCGCCCAGCTACAGGAAGAGCTGGGATATAAGGACAAGCCGAAGTGGCATATGACAACCTTTGCTTGATGCACTGGCCCCCTCGCGCACGCCGCCCGATAATCGAGCAGCATAGTCAGATATATTCTGGTGCCTTATGTACGAAACGCTTGTTACGTTCGTCGATGGGAAGACAACTCGTATTGCCAACCCTACGCAAACACACCTTTCCTCCGGGACTTGAGCGCAACGTAGAAAACAAGGTCAATTGAGAGATTGGCGATAAACTAGCTTGGCTCTCTGTCATGTCCTCGTCGAGCTGCGCACTGGAACGAGATGCGAGAACAAATCATTTTCAATTTCCCGTTCGAGTTGCAATACATTGAGCGTCCAAGCAACGCTGTCCTCGTTCCTTACACCCCATTCCGATCCTTTATGCTCCTCGAAGTTACGACCTAGCGTCCCGTCAGCGAACTATGACCACGCTCGCACACCCGCCGCGGACTCACCGGAACTTGCTAAACTGCGACTCGAGCGCGTCGCCGATCTTGTCCGCCGTGTTCGGGTCCTGTTTGCGCGGGAATCGATCAGCCAAACAAAAAAAAACAAATTGCGGTAGGGGGTCAGGTAAAAAAGGCAAAGGAGACGGAGAGGAGGAAACCACTGACGAGGTTGTAGCCGGCCTTCTGGGCGGCGAACGAGATACCCTTGTCGACCCAGTCCTGCTTGCCGCTGCTCTGGTTGTTGGAAGAGGTGTTGGATGCGCCGTAGGAGGATGTGTTGTTGTTGTTGTTGTTGTCGCTGCTGTTGTTGGACGCGCCGTACGACGACGTGTTGCTGTTGTTGTTGTTGTTGGACGACCCGTAAGAATCGTTGGTGTTGTTGGACGAGCCATACGAATCGTTGTTCGACGATCCGTACGAGTCGTTTTTGTTGTTGTTCGACGAGCCGTACGAGTCGTTGTTGTTGTTGTTCGACGAGCCGTACGAGTCGTTATTGTTGTTGTTCGATGAGCCGTACGAGTCGCTGTTGTTGTTGTTGTTCGACGATCCGTACGAGTCGTTGTTGTTGTTGTTGTTCGACGAGCCGTACGAGTTGCTGCTGCCGTCGCGGTCGCGGTTCGAGGACCCGTAGCTGTCGGCGTTCGACGAGCCGTACGAGTTGGAGCTCGAGTTGTTCAGGGCCTCGTCGTCGCGGAAGTCGCCGCCGCCCGTCGAGCCTTGGCCGTACCCTCCTCCTCCTCCGCCGCCGCCACCGCGTCCGCCGTAGGAGTCGTTGTTGTCGCCCCGGCCGCTGCCGTAGCTGTTGTCGTTGTCGTAGCCGCTCATGCTGATCGAGGTGGAGACGGGTGGTGGATGCGAGTCGTGGGGTGGATGGGTGGGTTGAAAGCACCGACGGATCGAGCCTATTTATGCATTTCAGGGCACCATACGCTGATGAGGAGGAAGAAGCGCGGCACATACCCATGGGCTCGTCCAGGGCGATATAGCGCGATCGACGTCATCCAAGGTTCAATCTCCGGATCTCGCCCTCAAAATGCCAATCTCCTTCCCTCCATACGTGTGTTATCGGAGTCGCAAGAGCGCGCGTCCCGGTGTGGCATCAACGCTAGAAGTGGAACGTGCGCACCGCATATCGAAGAGAAGGATAGAGCCTATGGCGGAATTGGCAGCGGGATACACCACCGGTCGGTGCAGGGATCCGAGAAAGATCGACGAGGAATCACGTCCACGAGGTTTTGAACTTTGAAGGTACCGCCCCGCCGGGAGTACGAGGCCTTCCGATCGCGGGATGCGATGCGAACGACCGAAAGAGATGGCGGCAGGCCCGGCCTACGTTGGGGGAACAGCATGTCCTGTTCTGATTCAGGGGGCGAACGGGGTCTGACGTCAGACACGTGAGTAACATACAGCCATCGTGAGTACAGCCCCAGCGTCCACCTCCGGCGCGAGCGATCAATCGCAATCTATCGTGTCAATTATTGGACGATGATCGACGAGGCGCGTTTGCAGACCAGCGTCGATCGCCTCGCCGGACAACGACCGCGAGGGAGAGCCGGTGAGCGATACATGCATATGCATCGCATGACCCGTCTCGCCAGCACATGGTAGACCGACGTGCACCACCTCAAACGAGTAGCACATAAGAACTTGTGAAGATGACGTCGTCGAGGTAATGGGTTGCGTGTAGTAGTAGCGCTACGATTTAAGTATCGCTGTTACGCGGTTCCATGTTCATCCGAAGCTTTTGCGAGCGACAAGGCTGTAAGCAGGACGCTGAGGATACAGCGGCGCCACAGCCTGAGCGAGACACCAAGGGTACGATATGTGATATGCATCCAAACTCATCGTGACCGTAAACGAACGATAGTGAACACAAAAGAAGTGATGCAAAGAGAGAGAGAGAGAGCTGCGTATCCAAAGGTCCGTAAGCTACTAAGCTGTCCTTTTATCAGTCAGATACCGTACTATGTTACCACCGACGGGGGGAGGCGCGCCAGCACCCCCCTCCCCTCCACCACACCACAGAGTCTATGCAACGCAACCCGAACAACGATCACCTCCGCGATTCGTAGTACGAATCGTACCCCTGCCCCTGGTGCTGCTGGTGCTGCTGCTGATACAACGGTGCCCCACTGCCGACACTACTCGGCCTCGGCGTCGCATACGGATCCTCGTCCCTATACGGCCCCCCCAAACTCGCCGTGCTCACGTTCCCCTGCAGCGGCACAAACGCGCTGCTATCGCTCGTCCTCAATCCCCCATACTTCCCGCTCATCCCCGGTCCCATCGGCACCGACGTCGGCGCCGCCGCCGACGACATCGCGTACGCCGGCGCCGAGGTCGCCGCGCGCGCCGCGCGCCGTCTCCGCGCGACGCAGATCCCGATGATCGCGCCGAGGACACCGACGGCGGCGACGCCCGCGACGATCCCGCCGATGATCGCGCCCGTGTGCGACCCCCCCTCGGTCGTGCCCGACCCGGACCCGGACCCGGACGACGTCGACGAGCCGGACGCGGTCCCCGACGCCGAGTCCAGCCGGACGCTCGCGGGCAGCACCGCCTGCGCCGCGGTCGGCTGCGCGCCGACGCTGCCCGAGCCGACGAGCACGCTCGTGCCGTTGCTCGGGATCCCGTTCACGGTCACGAACAGCAGCGCCGGGCCGGGCGTGAACAGGTTCGGGTTCGGCGGGACCTGCGCGACGTGGAGCGTGATCGAGCCGTCCGAGTTGACGGTGTAGGTGTTGTTGAGCTGCAGGTAGCGCTGGCCCATGTTCATCCCGTGCGTCGTCCAGCCCGGGCGGACGAGCGCGACGGTCGTGTTGTCCGCCGCGTCGTTCGCGGCGCCCGAGTAGGACGAGGCGGGGACGGTGATATCGAACGCGGCGCCGCCGTAGGAGAGCGTGGTGGGCATGCCGGACGGGGAAGGGCGCGTGGACGCGGCGAAGTAGGGCGGGTAGAAGATCTCGGCTTGGTAGGTCGTCGGGAAGACGGTGGAGGTGTTGACGTCGACGTTCGGGTTCGAGCCGGCGATGAGGACGGAGGCGTCGGGGAGGAGGAGCGCGGAGGAGTGGTACAGGCGCGGGATGTTGGACGTGTCGAATCCTTCGTTCGTCCACCGCGAGCCCTTGGGTGCGTCGGGGTCGTAGAGCGCGGGTGTGCCGACGGGGCCGGACGCGAGCGACATGCCGAAAGGCATCTCCGAGTAAGAGGTGGTGACGAGCGTCTGGGTAGAGTAGCCCGCGGTGCCGTTCACGCCGCCGTTGAAGACCATGAGTTTGCCGGTGGGGAGGATGATGAACTGGCCCATAGTCCTGCCCTCGATCATGTCGTCGTCCTGCTCGTAAGCGACGTCTGTGTTGAACGTTCCGTCGGCCTGCTCGGGCGTGATCCGCTGGCAGTCCTTAGACGCGGGGTAGTCCCAGGTGTCTATGAACGGCCAGGAGTAGTTGCCCCACGCGTAGTCGGGCATGTCCGAGCCGCCGCAAAAGATCACGGTCGGGGTGTAGTTGTTTGCGGGCGTGAGGGGGAGCATGGCGGTAGCGCCTGAGGCGGGGTACACGCGGATGACCTTGCCCGGCATGTCGGGCAGCGGCGTCTCTTGGTTCTGGTCGTAGTCCCATAGCACTGTATATGCACGTGAGTATATGCGTCCCGCTCGCGAAGGGAAGCAAGTACGCACCGGTAGAGAAGTTGGCCTGGACCAACATCTTGCCCGACGGCATCAGGAAAGAGTGCGGGTACGCGTTGAGACCGGAGGTGGCGACCATGAAATTCATCTGCTGTTCTTGACCCCTGCTCGGGAAGAACTCGTACGTAGGGTTCGCCGCGCCGCCCTCGAACGCGGGGTCGGTGTTGGGATAGTTCCGGTTGATGTACCCGCCGTTGACGAATCCACCGATGATCACGATCGAGCCGTCCGCGAGCGCCTCGGCGGTCGAGTACCATCGCTGGCTCTGCATGCTCAACACGTTTGGGTCATCGTACCAGCCACAGCTCGCGTTCCCGTTCAGCACGGTCTGATCGGCGTTGATCGTCGCGGAGGAGCAGGGGTTCAGTATCCGGATCGACTTGGTGCCGTCGACGTCCATGTAGGTGTCGTCCCACGCGCCCGAGCCGGCGTTGTTCCGGAGGGAGCCGATGTTGCCGCCGGGCCCGATGGCGCCGTTGCCGCCAAAGGTGACGAAGGAGCCGTTGGGGAGGTGCATGCCCGAGGAGCAGAAGGCGTTGGTGGTGACGTCCATCGCGGTCGCTTTGCGGGAGGCGATGTCGTAGATGGAGGCCCAGGCGGGGTGGCCGTTGATCTGCGCAGCGTTGCCCTCGACTTTGTCGAGGATGTAGACCTTCTCGTCATTCCCGAGGAACATCTATAATTTCAAAAGGGAGGAGGGTTCGTGAGTATATATGCGCGATTTCGCAAGGCTTAATGATATGACGCACCATCATGGCGCTGACGAGGGTGTTGCCGCCGTCAGCGAAGGTACCTGCTAGCGAGGACGCGGCTGATGCCGGTGTTGTAGATGAGGCCAGCCATGCGGCCAGCAATGAAAGGGTCGGTAGCATGGGTCGTCGTATGGGTCGAGCGCGTCGTCAATCAGGAAAAGTTGTTGTGATGCAAGGTGCCGAGCGAGATATTATGGATTGCGGGGTGTAGCGTAGGCTGTCCTGGAGATGGTCGGGGGAAGGGGAAGAAGAGGGGAGTGGGAAGGAAAGGATGGGAGAGAGGTGAAAAGGGAGCGTGTTGTTGTGAACGAGCGTCGTCTTGGGTGGTGATCACCGCGTGCGGGACGTTGGCCTCTGGCGTTATATAAAAAGGTGGCAACTGTCTCCCCCGCGCGCCTACACGCGAGCCGAGGACCCCAGAACTCGGCATCGACGGTCTTATTTTTGCCTCCGCGTCTGCCGCGCCGTTTTGCTCAATGGATCTTCCGAGCCGGCTGTCTCTATTCGCATCGTTCTCCAAGTATATACAACGTGTCGTCGCTCGTGTGTCTCAGTGCTTTTTAGCTTGCAATAATGAATCGAACATCGAATGGTAGCGCACGACGCGGCGCCGTCGCTTCAGCTAGCAGGCCCCGGGGTCCGCCGGGCGGGCTGGCCGACAAAGGCCAAATCCAGCCGTGTCTCGACGACTCTCCCCACCGCCGCCGAGCCCGCAATCGTCCCCGCTTCTCCGTTACCGGGCTCAGCGAGAACGACGGTGCGTCGTGGTGGCACGACTCCAAGCCTTCAAGTAGTGCCTTTGCAATGACCATTCCTTATCAACCGCCAGCTGAACGAAATCGACCGGCGCTTTCATTGGCGTGTATAGCTTTTGGCAGATCGTCGTGCAACGTTACCTTCCCCATCTGTCGCTTTGTCTCCCGCCTCTGTTACACTTGCAGGCGATTGATCTCGTCAGTAGACGATAAATGATGTGTCCCTCGGTCGACCACCAGTACCCGTTAGCCGTGGATATAGCCTCGAACAAAGCTCTCGGTAGTATGCGAACGAGAGAGATCGTATGATCCCGACTGCTCTACCAATCCCCGATGCGTGCCACATTTGTTATCCGCCACGGTTCCTCCAGGCCAACAGGACTCATATCCCCCTGAGGCCAGGCCAAGATAAACTCTGGCATGGGTCGCGCGAGGAGGGACTACGACGTGGTCCAGAATCTCGCAAACGTTGCGTGCACGGCTTGAGGAACGTTGGGTGGCTCATCACGGCGAGCTCTCTGAATCTCAGAGTGGATGAGATTCTCGATCGGCTTCGATGGACGAGCGGCGCAGAGAGGGCATCATGTCGAAGGCTGTCACTGGTTTTTTTGCGGAGGAGAATGAAAACTCAGAACAACCACTGAGATGATACACGGACGATTCGAAGACAGCGCAGGGGATCCAGGGGCAAAAGACCCCAGGAAGTTTACTAGAGCATCAACGAGGGCGTATCGGTGACTTTAATCGAGGTTTCAATCTGTTGGAAGGTCGTTTGTATCTCGATTTCGATACTATTATAGTCCTCGCTGAACGATTGGAAGTTGTGTGTGAGCTGAAAAACGTTTTGACAGACAGCTGCGACTGGCCGAAGTGGTATACGCTAAGTTCTGTTCCTTCTGAAACAGGTTATTTGCGTGATGCAGTACTCTGTACGGTCGTTGCTTGAGCTTTCGGAGGGTGTGCGACGACAGTGGTCCACGCCCAAGCTTTACGCCTCGCGATGAGCTCGTGCATGAGTGAGCTGGCACGTGGTATGTATATATGCGCGCCTCGGCGAATCCTGGCTCAAAATCTCCATCCGTCACTCTCTGGCTTGCCATACGCACCGAACCTCTCTCAGGCTACGAGAGTTGTGTGTCTCCAGCTTCGCTGAAGTGGTCTGATGATAACTACGTCTTCGTGAGCACCGATCAACTAGTATACGATCCGTACTTGTCATTTTCCCTTTGATCACCCAGGCTACACTCGATCCATACTAAGATTGACGGAATGGACCGTATCGATGAACAGATTCAGGAAGTCCTCGAATAGATGCGGTCTCTAGCCGCCAGCTTCGCAGCTACCTCTAGAAGTGCTCGCAACCATTTTCCGCCTTTGTATCCCCCCAGCCTCGACTCGCGATCCCGGCTTCCCATCAAGTCATACCTTCTCCCAAGTTTGCCGAAGTTGGCGAGCGCTGGCGTTGGCGACGGCTGGCCTTTGGACGTCAGTTCCTCGGACCACTCTGCAGCTCACCGAGCTATTCGTTTCCAGGTCCAAGAACGCGCCCCTTGATTACTACTACGTTGAACCTGACGAGGATAGTTCAGACAATGCTGCGCTCAGGATCGCGATGTGTGGTCTCAGTCGCATGCGTAACCCCTGCATCTGCGCGCGGGGGTGGCGGGTCTTTCCTTGACCACTAGATACCTCTCAAATCCCGCGCCATCACTCGTCGAGTGTCACATAGATGTAAAGCGCACGCTGCAAATTCCGCATAATTTCCTCGGCTTCAACGCTCCTCGTCTGAGCAGCCTCGCCATCTCGCACGCCTCGTTCAAGTGGTCAACGATGCACTGCCCCTCGCTAGTATGAAACTTGACAAAATTGGAATTCTGGCGGATGCCCTGGAAGTCTTTTCCTTCCGGCAACGAGTTGGTCCTAGCGCTTCGCCTAATGCCCTCTTCATTGGCCTGGCTCAGCTCCTCGAATCCCGAGCTCCGTATCCGCCACGGAAGATTTGCGACAGGTCGCATCCCTGGAGAATTTTACGTACCTTGGATTGGCCGGTTACGGTCCTCGCGTCATATGCCCTCGAGCATCTCAAGGTGCCTAAAACTGCGTCCTTGGTATTCGAGCTATACAGCCTTGAAGCGACGTGGAACGCAAGGCCGTTGGTCACGTTTCTCGAAAACCAGCATACCCCCCGAGTCGGCGGACCCACTGTGAGGCGACTGGAGTATGAGACTGTGTTAACGCATGTGCACGAGCTCTGCGTGTACTGGGAATTCCAGGCAACCACCCACGAGACCCCCGTCCTTACGCATCACCTCGAGAACAGCGACGCGACCTTGTTTGACGCTTTAACCTGCTTCGTCTTAATGACCTCGAGTCCCTCGCCTTCAGCCTCGACCATATGGAATATGACCTGGAGGTCCTGGAGACCATCCTTGACCAGCGCGAGAAGGTCACCGATCTTACGCTCAGAGGCTATGCACCGACCTACGCCATTTTGCCCCTCCTCAGTCCCCTGTCAGACAGCCCAGTCACGCTACCACAGCTCCGGCGAATATTCCTGGACATGCATGATCACGAAGTACCCGATGAAGATGAAGTCGGCTTCTTGGAAGAATTGATGGCCGAGCGCGCGTTGGAACTCGTCATCCAAAACGCCTCAAGCGTGGATCACACCGCGCTGGCCCTCCACCATTGGAAACGTCCGAATTGCAGAGTCGACAGATACGCCCAAGTGACGGGTACTTGTGTCCTTAGGAGTATACCAAGAGTATACAGTATGCTCTTGAGGACAGAGGTCTGCGCATTCCGAAGGTCCCTTGAATGCAAGAGATGCAGGACAGAACGCAGCGCGACGGGACCGTATGTAATACGTCATGGAATACTGCAAATACAGCGCATACACGATGCGATGCCGGAGAGAATGATCCAATTCGCTGGCCTGCCCGAACGTACGCGGCGAGCGGCCATGTACGGTGAAAACCGTACGCTGTATCGTCCACGACTGGTGCATCGGTTGGCTGTGGCCACGGCTTCTTGACGTAATTTATATAAGCGGGCCAGCAACAGCACGTATGTTTACTCCAAGAAGTCTACGGACGAAGACAGTAGCAACGGTTTAACAGCGGCAGCAGAGGGACGGGAGATACGATAGGTGAGAGACAACCTACCGGAGGAACTACATACGTGATAATCCGCCCCATCAACCTGGCTCGTCTGGTACCCCTCGATAGCTGTTAACATCAAGTCGTCTGCAATCAACAAAGAAGTGTTACTCGCTGCGGAGGAAGGCTAGTAACATGATAGCCTGAAGCAATGTTTCTGTGGGGATTCTAGGCAGATTTCCTTGACCCGAAACCGGCTGTTTGGGTATATTCCTGTTCAATAACTTGAGACAGTGATCACTACGTGTATTGTAAACCACTATCTACCACACACGACACAGCTCCAAAGTGAGATACAGACACAGCAGACCGCAGAGCGGACAAAAACAAACAATGCCGCGGTGATCATCAGGACGAGGGAATAAAACCGATAACTAATTGTACAGTGGAACACATTTCTCTCACGTCAGAGGAGAGACCGATACAGGCAAGGGTACGGGTACATCACGAGAAGGTTACCTCATATTCGTGGCGGAAACTCGCGCATTGGACATTCGTGTATCTATAGCCTATACGCGCCGCATTTCCTCGACGGTGACGAACTCATTCCCCGATCCGCAGGTTTTTTGCCTGTAACAAGCACGGTCGCGCCGGCTGAGCGTTTATTGCTTTATCCATCCGGAAGCCAAACCTCTCTCGAAGGGAAGCATAGAAGTGTGCTCCGATTGGTACATCGTCGAAAAGAGAATGCGGGGGAGGTTGTGGCCGCGAAAGGGCCCACAGATCGGGATCGGGTAAAGTGGAGCATGGCGGCAGGGAGTTGTGAGCTGCCCCCCTGGAGGGGGCGGCCCAGGGTGCATTGGCGATGGCATCGATGGGCATCCCAGAGTAGGGGTCAAACGCCTCGGGCTCATGCTGCCGATCGGAAGCGGATTCGAACCATGCGCGAGGTTGCAGCGTAGGGACGGGAGAAGCGGGCGACGATACACCGAGCGGCCATCTGTATGGAATGCTCGCCTTGAGAGAGCGTGCGAGTTGCTTCCTCAAGTCGATCGCCGGGTGCCGAGGGCGAGCGGCCCA